TCCATCATCTCAACACGAAACATACAAGCCATATCGTTTTCATTTACCACGTACCACGGTTTAACAGGAGTTTCTTTCGTTTTCCGAAAGATGAAACGAGATAGACATAAGACATAAGACTCATTAATTTATTGTTTTCTTCATTTTTTTAGTGCCGAGTAATATATAATTCAGATTTATTGATTTTTCAATAATCAATCTTCTAAATAATAATAAATCTTAAAAAAAATCTGAATTATATAATATATATAATATATATACTGAAAAACTCTGTTTTATGCATCACCAGAACTCCACCCCACAGACGCAATAGTAAAATTATTCGTAAATACCATACAACCAACTCACATTACAGTTATGGCAAAAGGTTGTCCGAATCGGGGTTAGAAAACACAATAGCTCCATGGTTCCGCAGTGCGACGCAATAATCCGGTCCGGCGGGCGCGACTCGAGGCTAGACCACCGCGCAGGGCCCTAAGCCACCAACCTGTTTAATAAGTAATCTCCACGCCCTTTCCAAGTTACGATCTTGGCGGTCGCAATTTGTCCCCAAATGTAATTTAGTTGAAAATGTCCGTGAAAACTTTGTGGATGATCCAGAGTTAATCAAATGTCGCTCGCAAGGTAAACTCGACGCTGTTTGACTACGTAGATGCGTGTCGAAGTTGTCACAAATTGTAAATTTCATTACAGAGGACTCTTCGAAATATTTTAGTCTCTAAAACCGGATCTTACCTTGTTATATAGTTACTTTCATTTCAAACAGTTGTTCACTTTTATTGTACCAATTGACGAGACAAACAAGTCATACCCGTGGTGGTAAGCGACACACCTATCCATAACAATTGCAGTGCCACTCAAAGACTTAAATAACAAAGATCCTCAGATGAGTTACTGCCACTGCACCCGTCATCCTTAGTATCCTAAGTTGACAAGTCCCATGTGACTGTAATTTCACCAACACCCTTACCTTTCAAGACTAAAACATAGTAATGGGAGTATTACGCATTACTGCTTGGCGGCAGAAATAAGTAAACTGGCAGTACTTCTATGGACGAACTGTTTCACAAGGAGCTCTACTGCTACCAACACTTTACTTTTAGGAAGCAAATATACCTACGTAATGACAAAACGCAATACACAAATAAAAGCATCATAAATGAAAATAATATAGTATCTGGCGCAATTCCACGACACCGTACTCTGAAATTTTACGTGTTTCGAGCCAATATCTAAACATGTTTTTAGGTAACGGCTTGAAACACGATAGCTAAGAGAAATAACAATAACACCTTGTGTTTTATGTTCGCCCCCTTTGCGTATACACCCTGTCTCATTCCAAGACTACTTTCGAAACAATGAATGTTCCTTGTTCCGCTTTTGATAGACATCTGTAGGTAGTTGACTAATAGGATATCCTGACGTAATAACTCATTATTACGTATCATTACGTGACTAATAATTAAACCAAGGAGCCCTGGCCGAAATGATTAGAGTTGTGGGTGACAGAAACAGCTGTGCTCCACCTGTACGGTACGGTTCAATAAATCCACTGCCGGCTACTGACTAATATAACCCAGTCTTCAGTCGAAAACGTCTATTAAAATACTTTCTCACTTTACGTCGACTTTTGTATGATACCTAGTTGGTATTAAAGTAGGTTGACTTAATTCTTGTGCAGCAATACGACACTGATGTAGAGGTGAGCGTTTAAGCGAAAAGCACTTTAAAAAGTTTGCTTTTTAATTTACGCACACGTACAATATTAAACTTACAATATTAAATTGTAAGCGTTGCTCAGTTCAATACCCAACAATTTTTGACAACGTGCTTATATAAGCGTCAAGTTATGCGATGTATGTTTCAACTATAGATTATCGAGAGATAAACTATGACTATAATATGTAACTTACCTATCTGAAAACCTTTAGCGGCCTACGCTCGCTTTTCGCTATCAACACAATGTTGCAAGCTTTTTTTAACATAAAGTCTGTGGGCTTAAACTTTGTTCTAAACGATTTTGTACACTTCAAAATCAAAAAATTTTTGAAAAGTCCTTTTCTATGCAAGCATACTTAATTAAAAAGTACGTTTTAACGTTTACAATTTCTAACTAGTTTTTTCCATCTCAAAATGTAAATATTAACCGTTACACACGCTCTTGTAGAAAATAATTTTTACTAATTGAGTTCTTAGGTTTTCGCGATTACTATACATTAGAATTGAAACATTTTTCCGAAACTAAAGTCGGTTACCCTTTGCCCGCCGTGGACGCTTTAAAGTGTCTTACATTAACTTGGCTGATACATCAATGACTTACTTTAATTTTCAATTGAAATTAATAAATAAATATCTATTTATACATTTTAGGAAAATTCACGGACAAATAATAATACAATTATAGTATACTTAAATATGAGTAATCCAATACCATTTACGAATTTCCACCTAAGATATTCCTTGTGCTATTCGTATATTCCAGTTAAGTATGGATTCATGGTTGCATTTTATGTACAGTTATTTTCTTCTTTTACTTAGAAGAAGTATAATATAAGGTGGAAATTGGTAACTTAGCTTAGGCTTAGCGTCCAGGGACCGAAACTAGTGTTTGTCAGTGGCAGTCAAAATGTTAATATACTTGTTTTTTACAAGCAAACCAAAAAGTTTCAGTCTCTTTACCTGTTCCTATAGTCTCGGCTGATTACTCATCAAACAGTTGTTTCAAATACCATTACAAACAACTCTACTCTGAAATTTACGTACAAAAATAATTAATCCTCCCACCTTATTTTAAATTTTCCACAAGACATATTCCAATTTATGCTTGCTATAACAATAATACATTATAGGTACTATATGCTTTTGTATAAATAAATCTGTATTTAGACAACATCATATATGTGGCTCTGGTCCCAAAGTAACTAAAGCACTTGTGTTATGGAAATCAGAAACAACGACGGTACCACAAACACCCACACCGAGACAACATAGAAAACTTAGTTGTTCCACACTGATTGAAACCGGGATCTGAGACAGGGATGGTGACATCATGAAAACCGGTGTGAAAGTCACTCGACCAAGAAGGTCGGCGTAATGAGCTTTTATTTTAACAATATACATTTTTTTTTTAAATATTGTCTAAATCACTGGGAAAAATACTTGTTGAAGAGAACTTCATGATACCCGTGGATTGGTACGAGTCTGACAGAAACCTACCCAATACACGTCTATATTCCTGTAAAATGTATATAGAGCTACTTCAATGCGAGCAGAAATTTTAATGGTATTGCATGATTTCAACGCTGGAGAAATTGCATAATGGTCCCTCAGAATATTTACGGTTAACAAGTACAATTTTACGAATTACGAAACTACGAGCATCACGCGAACATTTGGTTCAACCGGGAACGCTATTAGACTTCGGCAAATCAATTTTACTGATTTCTTGGAAAAATAAATGGCATTGAGCATTATTTTACTAGCGCAGTTGGGAGAACGTTTACTTCCAATTTAGAAATTCGATCTTCCCCACAAGGTGACTTAAGCTAAGATGACGAACGAACGAAACGAACTTTGACTACATCTAAGCAAAAATATCGAGCTAAGAACGTTTAAGCTAGAAATTAAATTAAAGTTTGTGTTTACTTCGTATTTTTTTGCACAAACTTAGGTAAAGTTCATTTTGTAGATACGAAAAACATGCTTAGCCCGCCATTTTTGCTTCGTCGAAGTCAAAGTTCGTTTTATAAATTTCAGCCTTAGTCTTTTCGATATACACCAAAATGTAGTTTACTTTTTAATTCGTAAGTCTATTGCCACTACTTTTTTTCAACAGTAATTGAAAGCAACGTGATAAATATTTTCCTGCGCCCTGAAATACATGACGCGACCACATTTCGACTGATGATCGTATTCATGATAACACACAACTTACTAGAAACTTCTTTACCTCACACTGTCCGTAAAGTAAGTACCAACTCATTTAAGGAAGTCAAACAAAAACTTTTGCAAAGGATCGAGTGGTGTTCAGTGTTTACTACAAAGAAAAGAGCTAAGCTGTTCGTTATACATTTAATACAGGATATGTTCCGTTTAACCCTTAGAGGATGGCTTAACCTCGCACATTTTGAATGGGGAACATTTTTTTTTTCTTAGAATAATAACGCATAGAATGATAGTTTTATATCAAACGAACTGTCACAAGTGAGGCAAAAATCAAATTAATGTAGGCATTTTCGTGTCTTGTTGCAACGAAATAAATTTTCGGTTTTAGTGAAATAAAAATACAAGTTGAAACGCGTTACTTCCTTGTGGAATGTGATGTTAGTATCTATTTTATGTTTGTCTGACGTATTTTTACACTCATTTACCGCACATTTCGTTATTTTTAGCTAAAATTCTTGTGCTGTTTGCGGTGCAAGTTGACCTTGAGCACTGACGGCCCGCCCGCTCGTGTAGGCCCTTTGGGAGCGCTTCAATTTGCCTCGCTTAACGTGTGCGGACTAGGTTTCTATGCGTTTATTATTCTAAGTTTTTTTTATGCTAAAGTATTTTTTTTAGTATGAGCACAGACATAATTATCCTTCGGTCTTTACATTATGGACGAACTTATTTTATAGAGGCACAAAATCAGTGTCAAATTTTATTAAGGTGAAATTAGGTAGACAAAATTGAAGGAACGCGTGAGCGAAATGTAAATATGAGTACGTAACATTGTCTCACAACGATTAAAAATAAGAGGCAAAACATCTAAAGAAAACAATAATAATTTTTATTTACAATCAGAGAACCCAGCAAGTTTGCATCGCTGCTTAAAATTACGCACTGTGTAAAGTTAGACGAACGACTGCATTGCTACTGCATTGCCTTTTACATAGCTATCAAAAGCCGGCGTGTGTAACCGCTCTTACGTTAACAGATTAATGATGTACCGTGGCTGTATCTATATAATTTAAATTATTGACATGATTCCATAATTTGTCATATTTACACACCTATAGCAACATGGGTGAACCGGTGCAGCGAAGATCTGGAATGTTTGGATCTGGAGGACGAGCAGCCGTTGGCCACCCTTAGCTCCGTGCAGAATGACAAGATGACGCTCTTCTTCACTGAACTGCTGGACCACGACCGTGATGACGTCATCGCCGATCATGACTTTGACCACTTCTTTGATGTAAGTTATCAGTTACATTTCAATAAAATATGTTATGATTACTTGAAACATGACAAATTGTATACAATAGGAGAACTTATAGGTCAGCGTGGTGCACTTAGAGCTGAACCAATGCCGTAACTCTAGGACTTGCCTAAAGTCAGAGCACTCACGCTAAAAGAACTTTACCCGGGGTAACTAACATTAAAAGATGATAATATTGTAATCTAGGCAAACAAAGCCCTGTGGTTACTTATTATCTATTATCCCGGGGATTCAAAAGTAGATTTAAATTCATTTCAACGGCACGAAACTTTGCTTATACATAGAATGGACTACTATCCGCATGATCTGCAATTAGAATTTCCATATTGGTTTAATAATATTCTACTGGAAAATAACAGTAACGCCGTGAATAACGTATATTACCTAAGGGATTTCTCAGACAAGGCGGTCGCGCGATCATTCGTTTCACGTCCTTTGTATAGTATGGAGTCTGAAGCGTGACGCAATATAATAAGTGTTCCCACCGTGTCAGTTAATGTATTCAGCCAACAGGAGTGAACGCCAGAACGCCAACTGTCTGGGAAATTCTTTATCTCACATCTCCACACCAGTGTGTTTTCTTGTTCATCTTGCGGTTTCAACCCTCTATTCGCCTTGCGTCAATCGTATGCAGTATTGATTGCCATAAGATATATGCGGTCGTATGTCCACACCGGCGCGTTATTCAGTGGTAATTCCAATGTTTTAACTTTATCTTCCGCCATTTTGTCTGCTAAATCTCATGGACTGTTGCTCGCGAAGCCATCAGTGCCAAATCGGCGTGCGCTAGATGCATGCGCTGTTGTTCAATCATTTTAGCGCAGCGCTTCTACCATGTGCTTTGGCACCTCGAGCCTGCGTCAGAGGAAAATGCAAGATGAACATGAAAGTGCACTGGTGTGGACATAGCAATACGTCTGTATATAAATAAAAAGTCTTTCAAACAAATAAACACGCATCGAAATCTGACAAAATATACATACAATCAACACACAATACAGTAAATGGATTGAATTTGTGTAAAGTCTATTGAAAATGTCGAATATCATTCAATTTAAACTATTTTTTATTAAGTTGGTTCTACCTTTCGGAATTCCATTTCGATGTTGGTGAAGAAATGTACTCTATCAACATCATCCTGAGATCAATTGGTTTAGCGTGGTGGCATGCACACGCTAAGAATGACGATAATGGCGAATATTCTTTTTAGAGATGTTACTTTCTTCAGGATTCCGCAAACTGTCATAACTTATGCGGTGTAAAGTTATATCCGTTATGTAACCAGAAGCGACAATTCATCGATTTTATTACAGCATAAGTAACGTTTTAGAATTTCTTTGCGAATCGAACCATCATGTATTTGTATAGACGACAGAAATTTTATATATTACATACAAATACCTAATATAAAATCTCCTTTTCAGAAACTGGCTCATTTCGCGGATTGGTCCACAAACTCATCAGAATTCCACATTCTACTTGAGGTGAAGCAGGAATTTATAGAACACTTCATCAACCCATTGCCTTCAAAGTAAGTTGAACGTGGGGTTGGGATTACCACAAATAAAATAGGTGTATTCAATTAGTGGCGTTGTGGAGGCATGCCTCTTTGGAGTTAACGAAGCGCAACGTAAACATGGGCTGTTTCACAGTGTAATATAAATTATCTGCTAATTGCATCATTATCATTGACTATTTCTGACATTCGTAATTCACATAATGTTTCTATAATCGCCACCAAATAAGAGGCCAAATTTGACAGCTAACGAAGGCGATAGTATGTAACTTTGAATGCGATCAACGAAACAATAAACAAACATTTTACAGAATAACATAAAATAATATAAATTTTATTGCAACATTATATAATATGACAAAATATATTTGAAGTACTAATTTCAAAATAAAATGCAATATTGAGTTACGTGCTGAAAACAGTTACGTCCTCAAGCCATTTTTTTAAAATAATAGTGGTGTAAGCTTAGAATAATAAATTCTCAGGATGTAAGCAATTAATCGCCGAAATTCACCGAGTCAATTCGATTTCTCGGAAAAAATATTGACTTATTATGCATTAAAACAAATGTATAAAGATAGGTGTATTTTAAATAATAAAGTATGTAAATATGTACATCTTTGACCACACCTATTGCAAATAAGTTTATAATTTATCTTTAAAACAGCCCCATACTCATAGCCAGATCTGTATTTCCTTTTCTTTTTGAATTGAAAATTTATGAAATCCTTAGTTTCTTGATAATTTAATCTTTTTATGTATTTGTTTTACCGATGAACATAGTTATTTACACTAAATTCTCTTAATAAACCATTTATGAATATTATAAAATCAAAATTAAAAGAAATGGATACAATTCATCGGAATGTGAGACAATTTTACGAAAATAAGAGGAATTGCTACAGATTGCAAGGAATTCTGTAAATAATTTGCTTTTAACAGAATTGCAAGATTTTGAGTCGATTTCTCGTGAAAATCGTATAACGTGATTACCGATACGATTAGTCCACAACCCTGTTCGCGTCACGGCAACAAGCGTCAAATTTGACCTATTATTTGGTGACGACTATAGTTATCTCGTTAATTTTCCTTATAAATTTTCAAGATTTTGCATAACCGATCACGTGGTTCAAAACGACGTGAGTGTGTTGTGAGTTGGTTAGAACCCATGTGACGACACAAAGCTCGTGACGTGACGTCAAGTAGCCCTACGATTGACACTAGCCTACTTGAAGCGTTTTCGAAGGAATATAAATAAAATCAGAACTGTTAGATCATACTTTATATTGCATGGAAGAACGACGTGTAGACCGTATATTCCATAATGACTTATTGCTGTGAAATTTTGTTTATTAAATTAAATATAAATTGACGCTTATTCATTTGTAAGAGAAATCGAGGCAAATTATTTAGACGGCTTAATCTAAAACAAGACTCGGTTTGAATCCATTCTGACTCGTCCTTTACTTATAAATGTTCTAAGATGATGAATTACGTCATCATTCAAACAGATTTCAAAGCTCTTCTGGGATGTAGATGACGTCATTAAGTCCTTAATGACGTAACGGAATTAAGATGTATTTTGCTACGTAGATAAGTAATGAGTGCCGTAAGCTGAGAGATATATTTAAATAATTTAGTTGAACGTGATTTGCCTCACACCTTCGAAATGGGTACCTATTTATTATTATGAAACAAGAATGATAACTCCCTACAAACGTAGCTGCGTTTCTTGTATGTGTGCGCGTGCTCCGCGCGCCGTGTGCATTCGCATAATCCCACTTGCGTTGCATGGCACTGATCGTCCCAACGCGCCTTTCATTATTATATGAATGTTTGCATTGGTACACATACAAGCCGCGCTGTCACTTTGTACGTAGTTACCATACTTCTTTTATTTTACTATGCTCTTAGCGTGGATACTGTGTATAGGCACTGCATCGGATACTAAGCAGGAGAACCATTTTTTACTTGGTGATCATACTTATGATAACGAACAACTTCAACAATAAGAAATTGCAAAAACAATAGTACCCAATTGTACAAAATGTTTGTGTAATCCAGGATCTAAAATTAGTTTCAGCAAAAACTTTCTTTTTTTGCTCCTGTTGTTTGTCATCACGATAATAAGTTGAAATATACTTGGACCTGACGCCCTGTATAAATATGTATATTTAAGAAATCATCTTTAAATATCATTCGCATAATCTCGCACTGCGCTGGTCGTTGGACGTGCTTTTCATGATTATGCGAATGTGTGAATTGGTACATGGCGCACGGTAGTCGTGCACATATACAAGCCGCGCTGCTATGTTTCTATGGAGTTACCATACTTGTCTTTTTATACTAAACTTTTATACTATGTACCAGCATTTTTATAAAACAAAGTTTTACTGAAATATGGTACTATAGTAGTGATAGTCGCCACTTATCTGGATCCGGATCCATCAACTATTAAATCTCAAATGCTCACAATATTTGCCGATCCTAAAAATTTTTTGCCTACCCGAAACATTAGAAACGGTCTCCACGCGCTGCCAAGATAAAACCCTAGGTTCGTAAGATCACAGTAATTTTTCGAACTTATGTTTTTATCTCCTAGTACTTTTGAATTTTAATCCTTGTGCCAGGGAAACATTTTCACCCGCTTTCTACGACAAAATTTCTACAATTTTTGTCGCACTTGATTCAGTATAACTTAATCAAGTTGTGTACGTTTCGCTATATCATTATGTGATGGTCGCTAATTTATAAAATATAAATAGTGTTGCAAGAGAGAAATTATGACATAAAATTAATAAAATAATCATAATTTTTATAAATGACGATGAATATAAAAATAATAGAAACAGAAGTCTAGTAATCTATGTTTTTTTTTCATTATAATAAAAATATAATATTTATTTATTTTTATTAAATGTTCATATTATTCTAAAGGCACCGGCTATTTTGTCGCTGAGATTACATTTGTATACCTATTTAAACCTTAATTTGTATATTTCTCAACATCTTATTTATGTGTTTATTTATTATATGGACAACAAAATAGGTCAAATAATATTGGTAAGATTGTTACCCTAACTTATGTTGACTCATCATTATAACGTAACAAGAAAGATCTACTGTTCATAATTTGCAAATAATTTACTTACTTGATTAATATACCTACTTATTTACTAAATACAAAAGGGACATGGGTCGGGTGAATACCTACACGAGTAGGCGAGTTACTATTCCTTTAAATATTCTGGATCGTGAGTCAAAAACATCCAAACCGAATTTTTCATAGATATCTCGTTGTAAAGCTAACACCTCTTATCAAGGGATTATAAAAGGAAATGTTATTCTTATAACTTCGCAGGTAAAATGTCTTGCTAGGTATAGGGGATTACGCCTTATACAGATATTTATTTTACTTAAAAGGTACGAATAGTCAATCTCACCAGGAAGAATCTTATGAGTTCCTGTCTTTTACGGCGGAACACGTAAGGAGGTCACTTTAAATTTTGCCACTCCTCTCACTGAGGCTGATCATAGACACATTTATAACCAAGCATTAAGAGGGCTCGTCCTTATCAGTTTTCTACACTATTCGAGTGTATTGAGTAGCAGGGTAACCAGATAATACAGGCATACTCTAGAATGTTAAGGACAAGGCTATAACAGATGGTCAGGAAAGTTTGAGGCTGTTTGAAATGCCTCCTTGGTGATAAAGTCCAGTAATTGAAGTGCTCTATTCTTAATGTACCTACGCATAGTGTTCACGAAACGTTACCTTAAAGTCAAAGAACACATAGAGGTTCTTAGCTTCTGTTTTCCTATCTAATGTCAGTTCATTAAGCTGATAGTCGTAACATAAGTATGTTTATAACGTCTATTAAATATAACAAAGCATTTTTTAGCATTGAGGTGCATACAATTTATTTAGCATCATTCAGAAACTGTGTCAATATCACCCTGTAGTTTATAGTAGTCGAACGATTCACTTATTACGCGGTAAATTTTCAAGTCATCAGCATAGAGAAGACAAGGACTAGGCAGTTTACCAATGAAATCATTCATAAGAATGATAAACAACAACGGACCGAGATGTGAATCCTGTGGAACGCTTGATTAAATTATAACAGCTGATGACTTAAATCCTTTGAGAGCGACAATTTATCTTCTATTATTTAAGTAAGATTGGCGCCAGCGTAAAAGATTTCCATGAATGCCATACATTGCTAGCTTATTACAGAGCAATGAGTGATTTATATTGTCGAACGCTTTTGAAAACTCGGTGTACACCATGAGTCCACGGCGTCAACTTTCTCACCGACAGCAAAGATTTCACGTAAATAATCCTTATACCCCAACAGCCTACTTACAGTAGATTGGCCCCCTACGACTCCGTGTTGGTTATTAAAAATAAACGGCTTGACTTGAGAGTAAAAATGATCGTACAATGCTGACTCGAACGCCTTGGTTGGCATCACTACATAAAATATTAATAGGCCTTTAATTTTAACAACTAGATTTACTTCGGGACTTGTGAAGAGGTACGATATGAGATGTTTTCTACACGGAATGGAAAATACCGGACTTATGACCAGTGATCGGAACAGGTTGATTTTTTCGCCTAAACTTCGAGGAACATAGACAGAAAATGGAGACTGCCTTACGACAGTATTTTTTAGGTCCTGGACCTTTTCGGGGGTTGGGAAATCACTAAAGTACATTAAATATTGACGTAACTTGGGTTAGCAGGTAGACTATATTAATCTTAACTTTGCGACGTTTTGTTGCAACACCAATTCTTCCGAATATTTAGGAAAAGTTTGTCAAAAAAATTCTTACTTAATAAACGTAATTAAAATTATTAAAGTGTGTATTTCAGACGTACTGTTGATTTATGAACATTCCTTCGGGATCCTAAAACTATCGCCTCGTGTCAAACAAACTCTCTTCCGTGGATGATACAAACTATGCGTATGCTGATTCCGTGAGTTTCTTAAATCTCGTGCACTGTAACGCGTAAGTGTGGTAATCCTTAGGAGTTTGGTACTTCTTAAAACGACAATGGTACTCGTTTTTTTTTTCTTTGAGACACTTTATTAAAAGCTCGTCTGCACCAAGATGGATATTTGTCATTGGGTTTACTCACAAGCGGTGTAATGTTTAACCATCAACTCATCATGATTAAAATACGTAAATAAATTATATTTTGTGTTTTTCCAGATGGGGCGAACTGCCCTATTACAAACGTGTATGTGGACCCGACGCTGATACCCTCGGCCTGCCAGGACGCACCACACTGGACGGATGGCTGGCGCGTTGGGCTCTCCATCTCAGCGTGATGAAGAGATTCACCGACCTTCCACTGTACCTACAATATCTCTGCAAGATCTTATTTCACGTCGTCGACAGGAATAGTAAGCCCATAATATAGTATAACGTATTTACATAATATATTGTTTCTACAGTAGAGTCAAAGCGTGTAATTTATTTAAATTATATTATTTTAGCTAAGAGAGAAAAATAAAAACAGATCTCTAAGGGTTTGGCGTAACTCCACCTTCCGGAAAATATGTTACTCACTCACTACTTACTTACTCCGCTGGCCAAGCGACTCAAAATGTGTGTTAGCCTCCGAAATTTCGGATCTAAGCCTATCTAGTGTTAATAATTTAGTGAATAACCACGAGTCTTAAAATTTGCAACTGACCAACCAGACAGTCTGTCTTCAGAATAGGCATGTTACCCACGACCAAAGCGTTGACCTTTCATTAGGCAGACTCTACATTTTTATCTATTTGATTCAGGCAACATGGCCCATATAATATGTATATGTATACCTTTAACAACATAACAAAACACTATTTATTTATTTACACGTATGGACTGCGACGTATGACACATCTTGGGTGTACGGTAACCGGCCTCGGAAATATCTAAGCTCGGAAACGTTGATACATGACACCGCTCCAAAAACTCATCCTTAGTTAGTTAGTACTCTTAAAAGGAAAAGATACGTCAGAGTGATACGTCGTCTGGGTCAGTTACTGGGTCCTTAACAGTATAATGATGTCCTGGAGATTCTTCGCTCCTCCATCCCTCCGGCGGATGGCATCTGTTTAGCCTTACCGAGCATACGGGAAAGCAGCGCCTTGCCACTGCAAGTCTCGTCGTCATTGAAGTTTGACTTGCAGATTTGCGTGATGGTGACCTCGTCTTTAGTGTCGATTGCGTGTTGGATGATCGCCAGCAGTTCATTAGCTTTGAGTTGCTGAGAACCCGTAGTCAATTAAGAGCAGCGGCTATTGCCGCGCGGAGTCCGAATTATTATAATTCCTACTGTGTAGAGAAGCATGCACCTACTTTTGGTTACAATCAGACTAATAACAGATATAAATTTGTCGAAGTTTCGGCGCTGTAGGCTAATATAGCCAGCACTGACCTCATTCATAGACCCAGGACTGTTTCCATTACATAGACTTATGGATAATTAGACGGGTCGGATGTTTATGCGAGCGATATCGGTGTTGTCTGCACCAGCAGTCGACTCGCTTGATTGACGGGCTTAATTTGACGTTGCCAACCGCCACCCCGCTTCAAAGGAGTATGAATCAAGATAATTATTCCGTACATTCTTGTAAGCATATATTGCACTTTCTGGCACAGGAATATGTATCATGTGATTTTTTTTCGAAATGCTTTTATTTTAGTCTCCAGGTGCAGTTTTCTAAATCAAAAATGAAATTAGCCAATTTGTTAGAGTATGGCTACCATCGAGTATATGTATAACCAGAAATAGAGACAAAATGTCATTTAATTTGTTTGAAAACTATTCTGCCATATCATTACTGTGACAACTGCGCTCCGAATGGCCAGCCCGAATTCGAAACAATTGACGGGTGTCGTCAATGGTTTCACTTCAAGTCGACCAGTTAATTTGAGCTTTGCTATAATGGACGAGAATTACATATTTAATATTTAATTACTAATAAAATTTTATTCCGTTTGTTTTGTAATTAGATATTTTGCTGTTTTTCCCCATACCACCGAATGGAACAGCACGCCATTGTTAGAGATATTATCTTTATTACAATAAATACAAAATATTTTTTGGAATATACGGAGACGTACACACAGGTCAGTAGTGGGCCTGTCTATATTTCAGTGCAAATGGGAATTGATATTTATAAGAGCTGTATCGCTAATGTGTTACCAGGAATATATGGCCCTTATTTCGTCTCTATTTCTGGTTATATACTCGATGATGGCTACGTATCTATTCCTTAGAGCGGGTACACAAGGCGACTTTAAGCAGCGATGCAAACGCGAAGTCGCGCGTTTGCATCGATGCAATCGTCTATAAATCGCAAGTGCAGCGATGCAAACGCGCGTTCGGTAAACACACGTTTGTGAAACGCGCGTCTGCATCGTCGCCATGTGTAATCACTCTAACTCAATAACCTCGTTGAATTTCAAATTCTGTTTGAAGCGTAACAGAATGCGTTTAAATTCTCGTGGAATAATTTGCCGCATCCGCTGTTCAGCTGCGATTTAAAAAAATCGCTCGTATAGCTGTCATAGATTTTTTTTAAGTAAAATTAACGAACGCTTGGTCACAACCATATCACAACTCACAACCTCACCTGTCCCTCCACCACGAGTTTACTGTTGCAGTTGTCGCTAGCGGCCGGTTGCCCAAGCCTAGTGGCCGCCATTAAGATACATACAGACATAAATTACTTGACAATTTTGTATGAAATTACACAGCGCCCCTAACCTAGTCACAAGAAGAAACAACATTTTGTATAAAAACATTTTACACGGTCGCTAGTAATCTCATTGTAGAGGCACAGATGTTAAGCGATAACGTTGCCGATAAAGTCACGCGTTTGTCTAGCAATACCTATTCACTCTAGCCCTAAAATGCAGACTTCGGGAAACAATGTCGGCAGTAAATTCTAGTCCTTTGCCTTACGCATCAGGAGATATCAAATGGATATGAAGCAAAACGCTTCGTGCGAATGTGTGTAGTAAATGACATAAGGATGGAGTGTTGCAGACCTTCTAGCAATCCGAATGAAAAACCGTGAAAGTACAATAAAATTGTAAAGTTCCTACGTACGCTCTCCGGAATATATCCGACAGGAAATTCAAAAGCGTGTGCCTAACTCTATCAATAAAAGTTCTACCTTACATATTTGATATCTAATATCAAAAAATGTAAGGTAGGTGGAACGCCAGTACATAGATATCGTTGGGTAGGTATATTATTTATTATTATTTATATATTTATTAATTTATTATAGACAATATATATATAATAAGGCCGCCTGTTGTACATTGTATGTTATACTTACATTACTGTTCTCTGTTGTCATTGGAAATTTAAAGTGCAATAAAGAATATTTCATTCATCGCCGACGTTACCCGAGGCCAGATATAAATCAATCCTCTATTCAGAAGTGATATCTATGACAACCACTACTATAGAAGTGTTATGATACAGATGATAAACATTTAATGCAGCATATTGTACACCTAATTATGAGATAGTCAAGCCCACAAAGTACATAACCAGAAATAGAGACGAAATGTTATTTAATTTGTTTGAAAACTTTTCTGTCAAATCGTTACGGTGACAACTGCGATCTGATTGGCCAGCCCGAATTCGAAACAATTGACGGATGTAGTCAATTGTTTCACTTCATCACACACACTTCGCATTCACTTCATCACATCGACTATCTTGAGCTTGCTATGATGAACGAAAATTAAAAAATTACACATTTAATATTTAATTACCGATGAAATGTGATTCCGTTCGTTTTGTAATTAGATGTTTTGCTGTTTTTCCCACACCACCGAATAGAACAGCATGATATTAGCTTTATTACAATAAATATAGAATATTTTTGGAATATACAGAGACGTACACACAGGTCAGTTGTTGGCGCTGCTGTACTATTTCAGCTTTCTAATTTGTGATTTCAGCGCAAACGAGAGTTGATATTTAAAAGTGATCTAAGGCCCATTTGCCTGATGAGTTTCCAGGGATGGATGGCCCTTATTTCGTTTCTATTTCTGGTTATATACTCGATGATCAAGCCCTTTGGCCTTTGGACGTAATATTTTGAGTCCTAATAAAACAAAATATTGTTCTAATATCTACCTAACAGTGTTCAGTTTTAATTCTTAATTTTACTTATACGCTGCCACCATTCGGTATATTATCTGTGATACATTCATTAAATAATTATATGGGTGAATGCCTACTTAGTCAGGCAGGATATTTACCTTCAAAGTGCGACGCGCAATTTATTTATTTAAGGCATTTAGAACCTTGCTCACTTTTAATGCTTAATGTAAAATTCATAGGGTTTAAATTCACAACACGGAGGTGCTATTTTAGTTTTAGTGTTAGTAGATTATCCGTGCTTGAAGCTTTTGGGGGTACAATAAACTAGAAGTGATATAATACCTACACGTTTATAGAGACATGATCGCGGGTAAAAACGTAAGTACGTCGTGAAAAGAAAAACCAACCCACACTATAGATTTGGTTATTCTCCAACGGATTCGAGAGTTGGCACTAGTTTATATATTTGCAGCCAAAACGAAGCAAGTAGGTACACTGTCGCGCGACTCACTGTACTGCCTTCCGGTTCATTTCATTCATGACCATTGGATTGAAGTTCAGCTCCATAGAGGTACCTAAGTATTTTTAGATGCGGCTAGTTGGGGGAGAAATGAAACAGAAAATATGTGGAATAAGTACATTGCCGTTCACAACTTTTCAAGCGATAGTATTTATCTGTAAAACTAAAACAATTCAAATGTCGGTTCACATGTCCGAATAGTGTTTGCCATGATCCATCGCGTCTACCTGCTCTAAATTGTCACTGCTTCCCACGTCAGAGATTCAGTTCTGAAATTGATGGCTATTTGAAAATCGGCGCTAAATGTCTTATGTTAAGCTTTAAACTGCAACTTTAAACGTCACGCGACATTTCGATCGAAACATTCGTTTTGTTGGTAATCAAAGAACTTTAAATCAAGCTTAATGTAGGTACCTATGTTAATTATTCCCCTTTTATCATTGACCTTTGTGACTATATATACATATATCCAGCAACAATATAAGACTATAATTTGCATGTACCTTATTTAGCACTTTATCAACTCCTATTATTGTATTTGTAATCCTAATAAAGATTTTGAATTTTGGTGTTACAGACCTGAAGAGATCTGCAACACCAAAATTCAAAAGGTACTACATGAGCTTGTTCTCTTTATCAAAGTACAAACCCTATTACCCTCACAAAACTTATTGAATAGCTGATCCCACTGGAAGCGACAAAATGTACTTAATGGAACACTTCATACTGGCGAAATCCTAAACGGGCACGGCCAATAAATAATAATAATAATAATAATAACGCACACACTCAACATAGCCCCGCACTAGGGAAACCCTGTGTCGCGGGTGCCATGGACACACACATAAACAACCACAAATTACACCCAAACTCACGAGAGAAATAAATGTAGGTCATACAAATATTTCGCCCGGCCCGGGAATCGAACCTGGGACCTCTGCGTGGCAGTCCGGCATGGTAACCGTTCGGCCACGGAGGCAGTTAAAAGTTAAAAAAGTTTTACAGATAAATACTATCGCTTGAAAAGTTGTGAACGGCAATGTACTTATTCCACATATTTTCTGTTTCATTTCTCCCCCAACTAGCCGCATCTAAAAATACTTAGGTACCTCTATGGAGCTGAACTTCAATACAATGGTCATGAATGAAATGAACCGGAAGGCAGTACAGTGAGTCGCGCGACAGTGCACCTACTTGCTTCGTTTTGGCTGCAAATGTATAAACTAGTGCCAACTCTCGAATCCGTTGGAGAATAACCAAATCTATAGTGTGGGTTGGTTTTTCTTTTCACGACGTACTTACGTTTTTACCCGCGATCATGTCTCTATAAAGTCTCTATAAAGATAAAGATAAATTTATTTCAATAATACAAGTAAAACAAATGTAAATAAAGCTATTATAGTATTAAAATTAGCATTAAGAAGGGAATCTAAATTATAACATTTTAATATTCGAACCTAATGTGTTATGTGTAATATAAATAAAAACAAGAAGACATTTATTGACTTGAATTGAATGACTTGACACCAATGAAGTAGGTACCTATTTGTTTGATGCTATTGAAAATGACATCAGTAAAAGACTATTCACACGGCGTATTTTATACGTGCCGACGATGCGCGTATACGCGTCATCGGCGCGTAGACGCGCCGTAGCATGTATCGCGCACTTTGATGAGAGATTGTTTTAATTTTAGTTTAGTTTGTTAATTACAGTTAATTTTTTAAATGAAGCAACTACATGAATTCTATGTATGCTTCATGTTTGCAAAGCGATGATTGCGCGCCTTTGAATCGATTCACTACGCACAGATCAAGCGCGTTTACGGCACGTATAGAATACACCGTGTGCAAAGGTTCTAAAGAAAAGAAGCACTTTAGTAGCGTCACTGTCACCACTACTAATTTTCATATAGGAGGAAATACAGGATAGGAAATTTGACAATAAAAGTCATAATTTATGCAATTTAAATTTTTATTATTTATGAACGTACGCTTCACATATCTGGGTACTAAGTAATCACAGAAAAAATATGAAACTCAAATAAAATATTTGATTAAAACAGAAAAAACTAAAACATGTCTTTCGCTCTCATTACCCCACAGTTCGGGAAATGGGAGCCGGTAAGAATCCCGTATGTGAAATGGGAGCAATTATATATAATCAGTTTGAAAAAAAATTAAAGTAACAAAATATATAAGTTAAAAAGTAATGAAAATAAACAAGATAGTGCTAAAGGAATATCCAGTGAATATTGCAATGGGATAAGGAGAGCCAAATAGCTCTCGTTACCCGCGTAACATCGAATTGAAAAAGGAATAAAACAGTAAAAACATTTCTATTTTTATTGTGATTTCAAGCATAACTTCTAAAATTTGATGGAGATAGTGACTTAACTAGTGTAAATACAATGTAGTATCTATGCATTTTAATGCTTACCTGAGATGATGAAATTTAGCAAATTTTATAAGCGCGAAGCGAAAAACACACTATCATCTCCTACGACTAAACGCGGGGTTCTACGGGGGCGCCCACGGGACTCGAACCTTGTCGAACGTTAACGAAGACATAGGAGTGCCGTTTGCAGAAATATGAGCATTGGGAAAGTCCAGTTTAACACCGCTCTCATTACCCGCGGGCTCCCAATACCCCACGTTCCCCTAATATTTACAAGCGCAGCTGCAGCGCCACAGTTGCAGACTAGATATTGTATGAAAATTAGTAGTGGCGCTGCGTGTCACGCGGTGCTTCTACCAGCGTCTTTTAAGCACACTAAAGCGTAAAACACACAGAGAGCGGATGCGGGTCGGGCGCGAGTCGGAACGTGACCGCAGCGGATCTAATTCCGTGAGTTTATATGGACGACAACACATCTGCATGCGCGCCCCACGCCCGCGCACTGTGTGTTATCGTCCATATAAAATACACGGAGTTGACCCGCCGCGGTCCCGACTCGCACCTGCTCTCTGTGTGTTTCACGCTTAACATTCAAATGTGATAAGCTTTTCTCGATTTTAATCCGTCAAAGGCACGAGCAATCAATGAATGCGCTTTTCAGTCAATGAGTTCACTTGTAATTATGCAGGCACTGGTGAAATAACGAAGTCAGCGCTGGCATCGTTTTACCGCTCCGTGATTGGCCTCACCGCAACGCGAGTCGACGAGATTATCGACACCGCGTACGACAGGATGACCAGCGTAAGTTATTTTCTTCAGAGTCCCAACAAAGAATGGATCATTCAGAACACATACGCCAAATGTTATTCATTACGAAGAGAAACCTTAATATCAATCAGTACAGAGTACTAAATAACCGACCTCAAAAGTACGTGGAATTACATCTATTTGCCAAGTTTTATTGAAATATCCCTAGTTCGCCACTATACAGGACTTGACACCGGAGATAATAAAAATCGGTTCTCACTACTCAAAGTATATTGAGAGAGAACAACGCCTCGAGTTAGAGAATAGCAAAACCAACCATTGAAATAATTGCTTCGCAAGTAATATAGGCGCTATTTATAAAAATGAACGTTCATGCGTGTTCAGCCACCCTTAGAGGTGGATGATTTTCTTCAAAATGACATAGAACCACTATGGAGGTACCTTCTTCCCAACAAAAAAGAATCATGAAAATCGGTTCACAAATACCGGAGTTATCGCGTAACATACATACAAAAAAAACAAAGTCGAATTGAGAACCTCCTCTTTTTTGAAGTCGGTTAATTATAACAAACATTCTTGTTGAATATCGTATACATTATGTTAGGCTCTATTTGTATTGCGGCGGAACGGAATGGAAACGAATTTTTGTAACAATATTGTATACAGCGTAATGAACTTTATGATCAATATTGTGTAACCTACGGACAACGGCACATCAGACTACACATTTTTGTTCGAAAATCGCCTCCAGTGCAACGGAACAAGATATACTTCAAAGTGTAGCTTGATGTGCTGGCGTGTGTGCAATCTAGATACGAACCAAAATCTTTCCCGAAATTCTCGCGCATGCTAGAGAACGCTCGTGCATTCCGCGGAAGATTTGGCTTGTATCTAGTTTGTACGTTACACAATTGACCATACAGTTCATTATGCTATGTACGATATCGTTACAAAAATTCGCTTCTATTCCGTTCCGCCGCAATATAAAATGAATCTAACACATGAACTTAATTTATCCTAGTTCATCTTTTAGGCTTTTCTTTCCTTTCTCTAATTTCAACAGAACGGCTACTTGATTCTGGATTACGGCACGTACGTGCACTGCTTCACCAACTGGTTGATGGGGAAGAATCCCAATGGACCTGGACAGTGGGTTTTAGTGCCCCCAAAGGACTCCCTTCCTCAACCTCCTTTTCCCGTGGACTACAGCGCTTTGAACACCGAACCAGACAAACTGGAACCCTATGCACCTGATAAGAAGACGAACAGGCATTCCGTTATCGTATAGACATCGAAGACACCTTTACTGCATCACCTGTAATGAACCGTGAACACCGACAGAACTATAGCTGAATCTTGAATAAATAAATTTTATCTAAGAAATGAGTAGATATGCTGATAAGTAGTAAGTGAAACGTAGTCAATTTTTTTGGTCTGAAAATAAGGTTCTTTTACAAACTAGTATTTTAAATGAACCAGACATTGAGAATTAGAAAACCTTGAGTCGTCGAAGAATTTAATTTGTTTTTTTGAGTAGCTATTTGAATCTCTCTAGTCGGAGATGATTTATTATTGTATATTCTTTGAAGCTGGAAAATCGTTCTTTAGGATAAGTTAAATAAGATTATGATATTCGCATTTACCAAGCGCGTAATGTAGCCAAATTGTAATTATTTATATCCGTGTGTTAGTTACAATTTATATATTTATATATGTACTTATGTTGAATGTGCCTACCTAACTGTAGGTTGTTGTATAATTCCTGATATTGGATTGCTATACGAGAAAACCTTTGTTCCGAATTATTTCGCTTGATTGAAATTGAAACGCTTTAACCAAAACTTGTACATTCCTTGCAACTTGACCAATTCTATTGTCCCTACTTTAAGAGTACGTATAGATAACTTGTTGTAAATAGTGAACGTAAAGCACGACACGGTAAAGCAAGAACTGCCTTAAATAAGCGTATTCACACTACACGACATAGCCTTATTTTGTACCTTAGACGTAAAGTAAGGTAAGGTGTGTAGTATAAACAAATTCACTTGGATCCACTTAAATAAATTTGTTCATTTATCAAGGTTTTTCATTATTGCTTTACGGCACCCGTGAATTTTCCTTTCCAATGTTCGCTAGTCGACCTTTATGTTGTAACCGCTTCGACCTACGTATCTAATTCGTTAATGGGTTCAATAATAATGTAGATGCCTTTAATAAAGAAATTCCCTTGAAGCAAGCTGATTGAGAGGTCAAATTGCGCTATTGTCACGATCTGTAAACGTTACCGAGAACAAAGGTTTGTTTGATTGACGGGTGGCGGAAGATTGGTTTCGCGGCCGGTGGTGACACCCAACGCTGGCTGGGAAATCTCTTACATCATCATCAATCATACGACAAGCACAAATTGGAGCAACGCTTTTAAAAGGAGTTATTGCCACTGTAAGGACTTCGCGTTGAATAGTTTGCATATTTATTTTCGCGATTATAATCAGATCTCACATACAAAATGGAAACCGCTACGAATATCTATGCAATTAGTGTTAACAGAGACAGGTCGCAATAAAGGAGTCGTTCAGCCGACGCGACCTACTGATATTGTTTCCCGGTCGTAATAGCATCATTAAACAACCCGACATTTTTCCTCGGGAATATGCCGCCCTGATAAAATGTGAGGCACGGGGCGCAATATTTATTGATGTATTCAGTACACAGCTTAAAACCTTTTTTCGTAACAGCCGCGCCAAAATGCCTTGCAACAAATTGGTTTCAGATGTACGCTGACGATTGTTACATTATTTCCTGCAAAAGCAGACAAATAGAAGGAATAACAAATAAAATCCAAATTGTTTATTATAGTATATTAGATATTACGTACTAATTGAAGACGCTGATATATGTTGTTTCATTTTCCGTACAATTTCACCGTCAGTCACGAAAATAATATTTGAGTCACTAGTACCTAGAGACAATTGATTTTTAGGCCACTTCTTCGGCACTTTGCAAGAACTATGTACAATTTTAAATCCATTATCAATGAAAGTTTTTACGTTGTCTACTGTAATTCCAGCGCCAGGCATTATTTGTATGTTGTCGCCAAATTCACACAAAAGTTGTTTAAGTAGTTGTATGGCCAACAAGTGGGCAGCAGTGGGTCTGTGCCCGCTGGTAAGGACTCTGTCGAACCCCAAACCAATAATTATTTTCATAGCTTCCCGCGGGTCCCTGCAGCAGTCGAATGCTCTATGAAAGGTGACTGGTTTAGGAGCTGCCCGAGTTATTACCTTGGCACACAGGCGAACATCGACATTTTTGTCAGGTGTCAGACCTCCGAAAACAAATCGATCAACATTCATAGTCTTGTAAAATTCTATATCTTCGAACATGGTTATTATTTCTCGATCTGAGTAGTAGAAATCGGAACCACCTCGACATCTTATCATGATATTGAGTTTGGGTCGCTGAAAAAAGAAATATTATATTTGTAATATGTCGTCCGCGTGCGTGATTAGCAGTCGTTGGAAGGGAAAATGCCTATGTGTAACAATGAGCTAACTGCACATAACTACGATTCCTGGTGTCAAGTTTACATAATGACAATAAGTACAGATAGTATAATCATTCAATAAATGGTTCACCGAACGCGGAATCAACTAACTTTACAGGCTAACAAAATCGTTGAGACCGTGGAGAAAATAAAGATTGGGAGAGACAAAAATTGCTGATTAAAATTGTGCAAGGCGAATGGAAACCCCAAAAACGTAATGATGTATGGGGCTTCAGTAGGTACAAATGTAAAAATTAAAGAATCATTTTGTAGATCAGAGAGGAAACGCCATCCTAGATACCGAGGAAATGTTTACGAGCGCTAACATTAAAACACCCGTTTACGTCTAAAACGTTGCTAAAGAAGTATCAACAAGCGATACCTTGAATTATGTTGAAAAATAATCCAATTTATGCATAAATATAGAACAAATAAGTGTGAAAATGGATTAAATTACACAAAAAAGGAGTCAGGCATGGTCGTTAGTGGGAAAGACATTAACGAAGTTAATAAACACTCAAAATGAGTAATACGACGCAACTTTTTTCTTTGCATCGTTAAGAGGTCGGTAGAGTGTGTGTGAAGACAGTGTCGATCGGCGGACCTGATTGCGCTGCACGGTTGTTGCCGTACGACTTGTCGTACTTAGGAAATATAGATAACCGCTTTGCGACTGATACTTCTGCCGTCGACATTTCTGTCGGCGTAGTGCAAGGAAGGCCACACGGCGAAGTAGCTCTGTTGTGGAGAAAGGACCTTTTTCGAACCGTCTCGGTAATTAAGTGCAACAGTGTCCACCTCGCCGGTATAAAGGTACTGTCTAATATTAACCGTTATTCTTTAATATTTACTGTGTACATAGTGTTATTAACGTTTATTTGTGTTTGTGTTGCTGTGTTGTTATAGTGTAACTAACCCTTAAGAGTCAATACTACTTCCGCTCGAATTCTATTTTTCCCGTACTAATACACTGGCTATATTTCAAAATTTATTTTTTTACAAACGAAATTAAAGCCCTTTGAAAAATTTACATGTATATACTATACGTGCTTTATTTAGTTCAGTTGATATAAAAAATCATTGGTATCCATATGTAAAATTTAAAAATTTTAAAAAAATAAAAAAAATATTAGTTATTGTAAAATTTCAAGGTAAGTTTGTTTTTTTTTTCTATTGTGAAAATTTGTTTTCACACCGTATAATAATCAGTGTATATCGTCAATTTCACTATATATTTTTTCCAAAGTGATGCAGAACCAACCAAAGCCATTGAAGTTGTATAGACCATTTTGTAATTTACTAACAATCTATGGGCCTGATACCGAAATAAATGATGATTATTATTATTATAAACCTGGTAATAAAGTCTGAACATAAAAAATAAATACCTTCATCGAACTTTGATATAATAACAAGACAGGGCGCTTTAAAATTTGACGCTTATAGAAGTGCTGCAGTGGCACAACTGTGGCGCACATACTAATTTTCATACATTATTTAGAAGCTCTGTTGCACCGCTGCTATCATGACACGCGCGCCTCTTTCGAAGTCACATACGGATTCGCTCTGGACCTTTTGGAGGGAAAAGTTTCGTTTTTATTTTGACTTTCAATTATTTTGTGAAATCTAGTTTAAAGTGGAATAGGATAGTGCTATTGTGCCTTAATCGCAGAACAAAACGCGAAATTATACGAATCTCGAACTAGAATAGGTACCCTTAACGGCCCGTTTTAAGGAATCCCGAGTCAATCCAAGCACGCCGCCTCAAATTGCCTATCCTCTTTGTGGCGGCCATATTTACAGAAACATAAACTTCATATACATTCTGCTAAGCGGAAAACTCGACACTGGCGAAATCTTAAAAAGAAGGAACCGCCATTGACCAAAACGAAGAAGAAGAAGAAGAAGAAGTCACATACAGTAAACTAAAGTCGGATTGACATTTGTTTGACGTGACGCGTCAGAACGGTATCGGTTTCCAGTTTAAAAATTACTGAAGTGCTACAGACGCGCGGCTGCCGAGCCACTGCAGCTTTTCAACAACCGTCTAATTTGAAGGCGCCCATATACATACCTTCAGAGGCTCATTGCAGAGGTTCACGTAGTCGTCAATCTGGAAAAGGCAACATCAAATTACGAAATCTTAAAAATGTAGTTCGAAAACCTAATTAGAAATTTGTACTCATATACTAAGTAAAAGTTTGCTTACTAGTTAAGTAACGTAACATTTTAGTAACTAAGTATACCATAATTATGTACATATAAGTGAATTCTTGACAAAATAACTGGGCTAGAAAAAGTGATTAAAATATACTGGGTGCTAGTAAGTCTAATAATTCTGTAGTAGTAACTCCTTTCCTCCGAAACGCAGTAATAATCACAAGTAATAGTCACATTACTGCTTAGGGACAGAAATAAATAAGGTGACTGTAATGCCCTGGAAGACGGACTTTCAAAAGAAACTGCGCTATGTAAGAAATTTTATATTTTTGGCTCCGTCTAACATCAAAGGCTAAATGCTAGAGCGACCTTTATTGGCACCGAACCTTTCGTATAGACCACATAAGGCCTGGCAAAGCTCATTCAGCTAAACCAAAACTATCGAGTATATAACCATAAATAGAGACGAAATAAGGGCCATATATTCCTGGTAACACATTAGCGATACAGCTCTTATAAATATCAACTCTCGTTTGCACTGAAATATAGACAGATCAACTACGGACCTGTGTGTACGTCTCCGTGTATGCCAAAAAATATTTTGTATTTATTGTAATAAAGATAATATCTCTAACAATGCCGTGCTGTTCTATTCGGTGGTGTAGGAAAAACAGCAAAACATCTAATTACAAAACAAACGGAATCACATTTCAGCAGTAACTAAATATAAAATATGTAATTTTGCAATTATCGCCCATTATAGCAAAGCTCAAGTTAACTGGTCGATTTGAAGTGAAACAGTTAACGACACCCGTCAATTGTTTCGAACTCGGGCTGGCCAAAAGGAGCGCAGTTGTCACAGTAATGATATGGCAGAATAGTTTTCAAACAAATTAAATGACATTTCGTCTCTATTTCTGGTTATATACTCGATCACCAAAACACACATGTCTCCCGGGATGTCTGGATGCAGACCAATGATTTCAAATACTCAAGGCGTACAGTGCTAAACACTGTGGGGAAACTGGCAATGCGGAGTAAATAAGCACTTGTTCAATCTAAAACTTATAGAGAGCAGAGACTCGCTCGTCGACAGGCATGGAGGAAACCAAAACAATAGGCCAAGATAATCACTCAGTTCATAATACTGTTTACTCGTAAATTGTGCTTAGTACCTAATGACCACAATAAATCAATTGCTGGTCGCAAAGACGAAGGGCTGCACAGATTCTGAATGAAGCCACAGTAATGGTGTTTCTTCTAATACTATTGCACGTGGAATATTCTCACACCTAGCATGAGACCCTGTAGGCATGTGTTAGCTATAGCTACGAAACTAAGCAAAAATATTCATTACCTTGAAGAAGCTACCACAACTCTTATAGTCTGTAAGGTGGCAGTCAATCTATAAAAATATTTAAACTTTGTTTAATATCCAATTAATATCTATATTCTAGACTTAAATTTCTAGTAAGAGATTAGCAGGCCATGACAATTTTACATCCAACTCTCCCATTACCGTTACTTAATTGATGATTTATATTCTATTTAATCATTACTCATCTCTTAATTAGTAGTGATGTGGTCTCTTAACGCTGGTATTTTTGTCAGAAATTCAACTGCCTCTGTGGCTCCGTGACACGGATTTCGTTAGGGTGAACCACCCTGCCGGACTTCCACGCAAAGGTCTCAGGTTCGATTCCCGGGCCGAGAGAAATATTTGTATAACCTATTTCACTTTTAATTTCAAGTGTTTATTGCAAATCACATTACGAATTTAAGATGGAACATTAATTTGATGGTATACACGTGACGCCCTGCAAGGGCACAGCAACATCTGAGGGCTAAATTCATAAATCACACTATTTAATTATACTAAATGATTACATTACAATATAATATATTAACTATTAAATAACCTACATTTATTCCAGTCGTGAGTTTGAGTGTAATTTGTGGTTGTCTATGTGTGTGTCCATGGCACCTGCGATACAGAGTTTCCCTAATGCAAGGCTATGTTGAGTGTGTGCGTTCTTGTTATTATTATTATTAGGATTTTGTTGCTGCTAGGCAATTACCAGATTATTCATATGTAAATGGATTTATATTGCTCTGTTACCCATCCATTGTACTACCTAAATAATGTTTTCTTTTTTCGTATGAGCGTAGAGACCTGGTAACCTCGAATATCTGAACTACCTTGTCAGGCACCAATCACTGCCAATCTTTGTTCTATTGCAATTATGTAATGTACATAATTGACATCTTAAGGAAATTTAAAGATTTTATTATTATTATTAGAAGACTGGGAAGACTGTTTATGTATGTATTTATGAATATTATGTTTATAAATACTAGGTACTAACATCATGATCATAAGTCGTTGTTTATGATGTCAGTATTACAGCCCACAAGATATTAGTATTTTACAAATAACCCTGTGTATTAGGCAGTACTTATATTATCATCATTAATATTTACATTTAAATTTTAATAAATTTATTATACAATAATTAGCCCTGCAGATTTTATTTCTTCACCACAGTTAGAGCTTATATGCACACGGCGTATTTTATACGCGCCATCAACGCGTGTTTTTTCGAATGCGTGTTTTCGACGCAAGTATACGCGCAGATGACGCGCGTGTAGGGTGCGTGTACGCGCGTCATCATCGCGTACAAAAATACGCCGTGTGAATAGGTTCTTAGGATTGGCTGAATCTCTTAGTCTCAACTCACACAGGCGCTGAGTCGAAACGTCGCGACGCGTCATGTTTTTCGCCTATAGCTATTTTCCCATTATTAAGGTACAAATTTATGTTATGCAAATATGGAGTCGCTGCGCGTTACTTGAGCGCAGTGAGGCGTCAGACACCGACCACACTGTGATCCGGACGCACTAATGCGACCGTCGCCAGGTGTTATAGTTGACAAACAGGACGCAACGCGACGCGTCGCGACTCTGCGCCAGTGTGAGTTGAGCCTTAGACTTATCTATATCTTATCTCACCTTTACATATTATTATGTCCTTGTGTGTGTTTTTAATGTCTTGCCTTGTGCATTATAGAATTTATAATAAGGCTTTATGTATAAGTCACAATAGATAATAAATCCTCAAAGCTGCATGCACAAATATTTTAATATACATATATATATATATATATATATATAAAAAAGCAAAAAGTGGAAAAAGCTCTGACTTTAAAAACTTGTAAAAACTAAAAAAAAAAAAGATGTAAAATCTAATGCTGATAGAGCCACCTTCTGCAAAATGGGATAACCAAGTGCAAAAACTCTTGCAAATATGCTTGTGCTTCAATTTCTCAAAGTCTCTCGACAAACTTTGTGTTTCGAATACGTCGGCTTTTATTCACAGATAATTTACAGCATGTACTTGTATTTTTTTATAAGAAGCCAATACATTCAAGAAAAACACCAGTGGTTATTATCAAAAAGTCCAAAAACATGTTTCTGTAGCTTGTGGTGTTTCCAATCAGAACAGTAAAAAATATTTTAAAATATGATAAAAAAGAATTCAGTTCCTTTTGAGTCACCTAATAAAGTACGAAAGAACAATAGATAATTGTTAGTTACGTATTGTTCATTAGTAACCGCAAAAATATTCGTTTTTAGTTATAGTATAACAGAATCACACTTTATTTACTTCATATTTTTGTTAACTTACTTATTGATTTATTGAGTAAATGGGCCATTCCAAATTGACGGGACATTTTGACTCCTTTTTTCTTGAACTTTAAGTAATTTCTCCCTAACCAAAGCTTAATTAGACTTAAAATGAAAATATCATGAAGCCAGGTATGCAATTCAACTGCGACTATTTATTTCAATAAATTTATGACATGATTTATCCTCAAAACTTTTAATTTTCTAAGTGTGACGGGTGGGACACTTACGACATACGCCAGTTTGAGTTGATGGCTCCATTGTCAAGATCAAGACAAACTATTAATATTTTGTTCAGCAAGTTTTTCAATTGAGTTGATGGCTTCATTGTCAAGATCAAGACAAACTATTAATATTTTGTTTAGCAAGTTTTTCATATGAGATAACTTGAATGTTACAGTTCTTTTTTATATATACACTTAATTAATAACTTCGATAAATTTTAAGGAAACTAATATGTTAAGTTGTGACGGGTGAGACATAATTTTGTGACGGGAGGGACGAGTTACAATTGAATACACAGAATTAATAAAATTACACTGTTTAATATGAGATCCATCGTTAGTAAGCAAATATTTTATAATTTTTGTCTTCTTAAGACATTTTAACATAAAAAAACAGTATTAAAGAACTGCTAAAATAATCCTATTTTTTTTTTAAACTCTATGACGACATGAAATCAAAGTCACGCATGTAAAATACGTTAATAAATTTGAAAAATCCTGCCGCATCTGTGAAGATTATGTATTATATCAAAATATATCAAATTTTAGAAGTTTTGCTCGAATATTATTATGCTCGAATATAATTAAGTTAAAACTAGTAGAGACAGACTATTCATGAATTTCCTGATACTAAAAATAATCAGGAAAAATGTTGTTGCTTTTCAATTGTCTTTTTTTATGTGTTAAAATATCTTAGTTATGAGAAGAATTATAAAAAATTTCCTTACAAATGATGGATTTAGATATAAACAGTGTATTTTTTTAAATTGTATGTAATCTAATGTAACTTGTCCGACCTGTCACAAAATGGAGTCCCAATCATCACAATTTAACACATCAAATGTTAAACTCCGAAATTAAAGCAACTGTTACACCTAGTAAACATCGTGACAACTCGAATCCATGAAAATACAAACATTTGTTCATAGTAAACACATTTAGAAGTGTGTCCCACCCATGGCTGTGACAGGTGCGACATATTTACATTTCTAGTTACATGCACAATGACCAACCAAGACAAAAAAATGACCCTTAGCATAATTGTTACTTTTACAAAAGCGAATACCAATAGATAGCATATTTATTGGTTAAAATAAAAATATATATGTTTCATTGTGACGGGTGGGATTTGAAATTAGTATTTATTGAAACTTTAATAACTCCTCACCATATATACTTCCATGCAATCACTTATCACTGTTTTAAAATTTGTAAATTGTCTTTTCTTTGACTGTAATAACTTACTTAGAAAGACTCACAAACAACCGCGAAAATTGTTGCTAATATTATAGGAAAAAATGCTTCAGTATAGATAATAGCACTATGGCTGTATTAATGAAGACAAAATATACAATCACTGTACAATTTCCGAACAATTACATTTATTTCTAATGATTTAATTTATTGGGCGTATTCTAGTCATACAATTAAAACCAAATTATCCAATTTATTTTTTTGAACTGCGGTATCATTTTCGCTGGAATGACCCAAATGTTATTAAAAACAGGGAAATAGTTTTCAGGTCCATATAGTTCACACAGAAATTAAAACAAAACAACAATGAAGTATATTCATATTCATGTGCATACAGAAATTGATGATTGCCAAGGGACATTGAGAAAATAGAAGCACTGTCCCTACGCGACAGAACCTGTTAGAAATAACTAATGACCATACATAATGCATCATGATCCTCAGCAAATTAGGGGACTACAAGAGCTCTTCTACTTGTAAAACAAATATTGGCATTAAAACTCGATACTAGTCACTACTAAACATTATATTTAAGGCCAAAGTAAATGACAAGCATACCGCAGCAATGACTGTTCGAACAAGTCCAGGCGAAGGAGTAAGACCGCCTTCGGGCAACGAGCTGCACAATTCCAATTCATCGGCACCATTCTGTATAGCATTGATTGCTGACTCCAGACTGTCCACGCATACCTCCAACATGCTTATAAAAATGATAACATAGGCATAAGTATTACATTAGGTATGTAGAATGCCGACTCCTATTTCCAATGTTATTACGATACTGTCGTCAGCTATTTTAGCATCAGCTATTACAGTATCCATGGGGGTAGTGTGTGGATGTGCATTAACAAAATCTCTGTTTAACAATAATTTCAAAAAATATGTAGATACGGTACCTATTTATTTATTTTAACTTAATATATTAGGTCACTTAATTTTTGTTGTGATTAACTCCATCCATAATAAAATGTATCTTTTTTCATATTTGTCTTGGCTTTTTGCTATATTTTAACCTTCAACTTGAACTTTTGTACGTATGGCTCTGTCGCTTTGCGCGACGATTAATTTTGTTTACTTACGGTTTTTGACACTCCTTTGACAAATCTTGTCAAAAGTTATAGAAATTATGGTTTTCCATCCTCGAAGTAGAAACGTTAAACCTAGAACTATACATAAAAACCTTTCTAATGTTGGGTCATATAAAAATTTCCGTATTGAAAAAATCATATTTTTTAGAAAATTGAATTCGGATATTTTTCCTTCCTTTATTTTTTTCCGTCCTCTTAAGGGTGTATTCCAGGACTACTCAATGCTCAAGTCAGGACGTGAGTATAATTTCAAGCACTGGAAATACGACCCTAATGGCAAGGACTTGAGTATGATTTCTAGTGGTTTAAATCGTACTCTAGTCCTGACTTGAGCATTGAGGGGAATACACCCCTAAGATTTTCCACATACATTGACGTTGCCACCTTTCAAAAGTTGAAGTTACTGAACGAAAACGATGGAGCCATTTTAAAGGTGTTCCCAAGGACGTACTAATAGCTCTATGGGTGTTCCTCCGTTCCAATAGCTATCCCCGTCACTATCAAAAACGTATTTGTTACAATGCGCGATCTCCGTTCCGTGGTTCACATTTTATGTATCCACTATGACGTCCCAAGAACTATTTAGTGATGGGAAACCTTCCGCGCTAAATCGATTGATCGAACGGAATACACGTATTCCATTCAAGTATTCGTTGATTACAAGTAGTCGTGAAGTATTAATACAGTAGAAAAATACCAAAACAAGATAGTTATTTAAAATATAGTTATAGTTATATAAAAATTTTTATTACTTAATAATTTCAACTTTAATTTTTAATCAACTTCAAATCGCACATGACAGCTAACATAGTGTTATCTCATAATGGCTATAATTTATATTAATATTACCTATTTAGTTTCCTAGCGACAGTATTGTCCTGTTACTTTGAAATTAAATCGAATAAGAATGACACATCAATGTAGCAAAATTTTGGAGATAAATTATTAATGTAACGCAATTCTGAGATAAAATATAATATAACGCCATTTTCGAGATAATACTATATTAGTTGTCAAGTGCGATTAATATTAAAATTATATCCCTTGAAATAATATAAGCTATCTTTTTGTAATAGAAGATCTTATCGATTGACTTAAATAATAAAAACGCACCTCAATATATGAACTCGCAACTGCCATAGTTAAATTTACTAGATAGTTTTACGTCGGTGATTGATCGAATTGGTGAATGGCAAGTGAATACCCGTAAACACGCGTTTTCATTTAATTAATCGATTCTAAATAGAATAATTTTTGTTCAAGTATTTGTTGATTACAAGTAGTCGTAATATTAATATAGTAGAAAAATACTAGAATAAGATAGTCTAGTCCTTTATTTTAGTATAAAAAAATTCTTTACCTTTACCTTTTAATCGACTTTGAATATTAAAATTACTGTCCTTCCAGTAAAATGAGTTTATTATATAGCATCTTTTTGTAATAGAAGATCTTATCGATTAACTTAAATAATGAAAACGCACCTCAATATATGAACTTGCGGATGTCTTAATTAATTTTACTAGCTGGTTTTCTGTTGGTAATTGATCAAATTGATGGCAAGACTAATGAAAATGTTACTACTGACACAATATTGTAACATCTTATTAATCAGAAGAGGTTTACGTAATAATGGCCTCGTGTAAAATTTTTGTTATTTGTTTATTATTTCTCGAATTTCTAACTCTGCTACTCTGCATATTTGGATAGCATCTTAAGTGGGATAAACCAGACTTCGTCCTCGAAAGCAACGAACTCATACGTATGACCATCTCCAGGTTTTTGTAAATCACAGCGCACTGTTAATTCTTTGCGTTATACATTTTTTTGTATTACTCGTAATAATTAAATAATAGTAATAATTAATAAGTAATTATTTGCTCACTATATTCGAGCATTCGAGGCGACGTGCTGTAAAAATTATCGAAATCACAGGTAGTACTGGATAATAGATACTACAAAACTGAAAAAAAAAACGAAACGTTACTAAACGTTATAACAAAAGAGTTATAGAATATTTTTATAATATTGCTAAGGTCATAATAATTTTCGTCCCTTTGTTTTCAAAATCGATCAGAATCGAGAACAAAGTTGCCTAACGTATACATCACTAAATGTTAAATTTGGGCAAAAAAAATGCACTACAAGCGGCCGTACCACAGAAACTGAATGCATTATGCAAAAGTGCGTTCGTTCGATATTCATGGCGTATTAACAAAGGATTACAAATATATCGCACCAAATAAAAGCCGCAATGTATTACAAATCATGAGGCATACACTGAGTTGCGTATTTGTTTTCTCGAAATTCATACAAAACCAAAATAATTGTTTTTAAAATAAATTATGCATCTTCTGATTACAAAATCACTTGCCCACGGAAGGAAACGTCCCTGTTTACCCGTTTACAAACAGTCATGGTGCTTTTTATAATGGAACAATTATGCATTTCTCGCATTTTCGACCGGTGTCTATCTACGATAACGGTCGAGCGCGTTCTGAAGTGTATAGCAGCGGCAAGTAAATGAATTTCACTTACTTTGGGCACGCGAAATACGTACCCTTGCGGCGTCTATCTAGATATATGTCTGTGGGGCCACATAAGGAATATCGCAAGACGCATTGCAGGCTTGCACGATCCGACTACATTCAACATTACACCGATGAACGACTAGGCGGACTGCAAAGCAGGATAATGAATGACTTGACCAGTAGCACATTTGCAGAGTGACGGTACAGTACACCGTAGTCACAGGTTCGATATTTGTATTAATAATTATATTATATTTAAAAAAAAGTTTGGCAATTCTGAGTACAAGTACAAACTTTTAGCTTTCACTTTTATCCATTCCGGGATATCAGAGGGAGGTATTATTCACTGTACATGCACCTACATTAGGAAAATATACTCTGTCTAAAAGGGCCCATTCATTATCCTGCTTTACAGTCCACCTATCCGTCCGCCGCGTAATACATACCTACGTGCAAGATATATATGCATAATGCATACGTGCAAAATTCCATACGTGGGCCATATGTAGAATGGTGTGTGAGTAGTCTCCAGCCTGCGCGTCGGACTACTTTGCAGATAGCAAATGGTCCGTTTTAGTTACAACTTTGTATTACATTTTTTTCCATCATTGTGTTTTAAATTTCTTTTTAGACGAAATTGTACGTACTTGACGTAAGTGTTGCCAGTTTCATACTTGCTCCTTTTGACATTACGAGCTAAAAAACGAGTAAGGACACGCGAACGGTGGCTTAATTTTGGCTTACGTTCGCCTTCTTTTCTCAGGTATTTACACATTTTACCTCTTATTCTTTGTTATTGGCCACGTAGTAACATTTTGTGTGGTCAAATGTACTTTATCATACAGTTTCCCTTTTATCCAACATCCAAAAGTGTTGAGGTTATATTCGTCAACTGTGCCACATAACTTGAAGTAAACTTTCTTCTTTTTTCCTAATTTCCTTGCTAATAAATAGCTTATTTTCTGTGACAGTAATGTCTCGACATAAACATAATGAGGAGACGGACAAGCTTACGCGTATCGCGATCGTGAACGCTGACCGTTGCAAACCTAAGAGATGCAGACAAGAGTGCAAGAAGAGCTGCCCAGTGGTACGCATGGGGAAGCTGTGCATCGAGGTGACTCCCAATGACAAGATCGCCACTATTTCCGAGGAGCTATGCATCGGGTGCGGTATTTGTGTCAAGGTAGCTTACATTGCCTCATTTGCATGTTTTTACGAATTTTAGATTTGCCACATTGTGTGTAGGGTACCACGTTAAATAATTCGACTTAGTTTATGCTGAAGTTCACATGCAGTTACACTAGTGAGAATTTTCTGAGAACCATTTTTCATTAATTGTTTTTTGTGTAACATAGATCAGAACTACTTACTTACTACAAGGTGTAAATAAAGGCCTAATTTTGTGGTTGTAAATAAGGATTTACAACCACTCACAATGTAATAATGACAATTGTTTCTACTTCTAGATAAACATAAAAAATATAATAACTGCTTACCCTCCTTCCATAATTTATTCATTTAAAAATTTACATTTCAGTGATCATATTCAACAGGTTTTGTTAGAACATTAAGATTTATTCTATAACATGATGTCATTTGCAGAAGCAAAAATGTAGTTTTAAGTTTTTTTTTAAATAAACACTGCAGTTTTGTCTCCTTTTGTGAAAAGGTAGGCATGAATGAAAGATAAACTATACTTTCATAAACTGTTGTCTTATATGTGATAAATGCCAGTAAATGTTGTGATTTGTTACACCAGACACATGGTCTGATTTATTAAAGTGTCCTTCCCTTAGCATGAAATTACTCCAAAGTAGTACTGGCATGTTAACTGTTTTTAGCCACATTATTGAAAGAGTAGATTAGTTAGTGCTAAATATGTATGTATTGTTGGTTTAAATTTAATAAGTGGAAAACTTGAAGTCACTCTTTTGGACATAATTCAAATAAAAAATATATATAGGAAATAAAACTATTTTTCCGGATTTAAATTGCGTATATTAGTTTTTTCAAACAAACCCATGTTTCAACCGTTGCCATGGGACCTGTAAAGGGCCCGAAACCTCCATTTGTTTGAAAAAACAAATATACGCAATTTAAATCCGGAAAAATAGTTTCATTTCCTATGTGTAACAATCGCGAAAACTTAAGAACTGGATAAAAAAATATATAGTTTTTTTCTCACATATAATAAATATACAATGGTTAATACATGATAAAACACTGCTGCTGCGAAATTGGTCACTTATGAATACACAAACCTTTAATATCATGTAACCTTTGACATTGCGCTTTTTGAGAATTACTTTAGAACAATGTGCGTAGTACCCATTGACTTACAATTATATGGACGTCGGGTCCGCGCTAAAATGTGTCCGAACTTATAGGGCGTTAAAATCGTATACAGAGCGTCATTCATGCTTTAGTCTTCGTTTGTTCGACTGACAGCGAAGCAAGCAAAATTAGACAGTACTGCGATGACATTACAATTTAAATTCAATGTTTTAGCTTTTTCATATTCCTATTACGTTTAAACAGGTTGACTTGGGACATTTTGTTCGTGATTTTTGTATTAGACCCGTCATCCATTTATTTGTAAGTCAATGGTAGTACCCATGAATTTCATTATTATTTGTTTAATTTACGTTGCAATACTCAATTTTATTTATTGTTACCATTTTATCAAAAATCCAAAATTGTTATTATGAAATTAAAGCAATTGATACTGTTTCCTATTTATGATTATGTAGCTAGTTAGAACCCTTTCGTGTCACACAGGCACTTAAAAATTATTTCTTTATTAACTTTTAATGGGCTTAAAATTGTTACACAAAGCAACACACTTGTATTGTGTGCAATATAACTGCCTCTGTGGCCTCGGTTACCAAGCCAGACTGCCACATAGAGGTCCCAGGTTCGAATCCTAGGCCGGGAGAAATATTTGTATGGCCTACATTTATTTTTCTCGTGAGTTTGGGTGTAATTTGTGGTTGTCTATGTGTGTGTCCATGGCACCCGCGACACAGGGTTTCCCTAGAGCGGTGCTATGGTGAGTGTGACATTATTATTATTATATTATTATTGAAACATTGTAGTGACAATATAATTTTCCTGTGCATAGCTCTTAAAGAATACTATTGTCTGTTACAAAGTAATACATCACAATGATTATCATAATTGTATTTATTATATTGTTAATTATGAAATATATATTATTATATCACACATTTATAATATTAATTGACATAAGTGTCATAGTGGGGAAATAATACTACATTGAATTTCTACAGAAATGTCCATTTGACGCGATCACGATCATCAACATCCCGTCGAACCTTGAGAAGCACACCACGCATCGTTATTCCAAGAATTCTTTCAAGCTCCATCGGCTGCCGATCCCCCGCCCCGGTGAAGTCCTTGGGCTAGTCGGTCAGAATGGTATTGGCAAGTCGACTGCTCTCAAGATCCTTGCTGGCAAGCAGAAGCCTAATCTTGGGCGTTTTGCTGTAAGAAAGTTTTTGTGCGAAACTTAAAAATTGTGTCATTCAAATGTGACGTATTTTAATCCCTTGTATTGAAATGAACACTGCAGAAATGATTTTTGAACATTTTTTTTTTGTTGTTTCAATTAATATTTCATCTTAGGATCCCCCGGACTGGCAAGAGATATTGTCTCACTTCCGCGGCTCAGAGCTGCAGAATTACTTCACAAAGATTCTTGAAGATGATCTGAAGGCCTTGATCAAACCTCAGTATGTTGATCAGATTCCCAAGGCTGTAAAAGGAACTGTTGCACAATTACTTGACAAGAAAGATGACTTGAAAAACCAAACTGAAATCTGCAGAATGCTCGGTAAGTAGTTTTAGTCAAAGTCTAGGCCACGAAAAACAGTCAATGTTGTAACCATTAATTGGAAATATTATTTTGAGGATTAATCAATACAGCTACCTTATGTGTTTAGGACTTAATAAAAGTAATGTAAAAGAGTATAATTTACAGATTTTCGCATAATAATTAAAGTTTATTTTTCACTTAGATCTATCACACATTCGCGACCGTGAGATTGCGGCGTTATCGGGAGGGGAGCTGCAGCGCTTCGCGTGTGCCATGGTGTGCATCCAGAATGGTGACATCTTCATGTTCGACGAGCCGTCTTCTTATCTCGATGTCAAACAGCGTCTCAACGCCGCGCGCACAATCCGTTCGCTCATGCATCCCGATAAGTAAGTAAATTAGTCCAATGCTGTCACAACTGGTAATGAAATTGTATATATGTATATTTGGTATAATAACCCAAATCACCTCAATAATGTTTGTAATACTGTAAGTGTCCCAGTATGTAGTCAACAAATTCCACATTGAGTTAAATAAACTGGATGTCGAATTTGTTGAACAAGACTGTTATTATTTTAACTGCATTTCCATTTTTAATACCTATATATACACTAGCAATAAATACTTAATTTTATTTGACTTGCCATTGTTTTTGTCTAGGTTCATTATTGTAGTGGAGCACGACTTGTCAGTATTGGACTATTTGTCTGATTTTATCTGCTGCCTGTATGGTGTGCCTGGTGCCTACGGTGTTGTGACTATGCCATTTTCCGTGCGGGAAGGCATCAACATTTTCCTCGACGGCTTTGTGCCAACAGAAAACATGAGATTTAGGACAGAATCTCTTGTTTTCAAAGTGGCAGAATCAGCTACAGAGGAAGAAGTATGTAGAAACACACATTTTTTTTTAACAATTGTACCTATAGTAAATCATTATTGTGACAACAATGCTTGACACAGATTAAAAGGATGAACCACTATGAATACCCTGAAATGACGAAGAAAATGGGCGACTTCTTTCTCCGCGTGATGCCTGGAGAATTTTCCGATTCCGAGATTTTGGTGCTACTTGGTGAGAATGGCACTGGGAAAACCACTTTTATTAGAATGCTAGCTGGAAACCTGGAGCCAGATGAAGGTAAGCTATTACTATTAAAACCTTTTGTTAAAAAGTCCAAATCACATTTCCTATTTTTTTTCTGTTTTTCTTTTCGTGTTCCAAAGACATTTCTCACCTTAGAATAAAAGTGACCTAATTAAAAAAAGAACAAAATGAGGTTATTTTATGACTTTAAAAATCATTGTTCATTAGGTTATTAATTTGTAACTGACCAATTACAGCTCGAATGGCACAGACTGACTGTATAGGTCTCTTTCATATGTTTGAAATTCCACTTGATGGTACATAAATGCTCCATTTTGAGTTGGATGTGCCTCTGCTAAGACTGCACTTTAACTGTGTTCCAGTTGCATTTAAGAGGGATTTAAAAAATACTATTAACTCTATTAGAGTTTATTATAATTATTATAACAAAGATGGAAACATTAAGAAAATTGTCATTTGATCCGGCTCGATTCAGATACTCTGCCAACTAACCTACGGAATGAACCAGCAAGCCTTACGCATTGTTGTATGTGTTTGTTACAGATCTTTGTTTTTGGTTTTTACCTACTTTTTTGCCATCTATTAGAGTTTCTGCCCTTAAAAAACCTTCATAAAAACATTAAAACAATCTTATCTTATATCTATAGACGATCATAAGATTCAGTCTAGATAAATTGGTATGGAGCTCTACCAGTGTGGTGCTTGGGATGTCAACAAAAAAGTACAGTAAAAATGTGATATGTCGCTATGGCGACTAGTTTTTGTAAATTATTTTTTTTTAATTGTTAAATATTGAAATAATTAGAAACAACTTTTGAGGTTATGAAATTCAATTTTTCATCACTATTTTCGACCTTTATTTACAAATTTCAAGGTACTTGTTGTTCTTGTTTTGCGTATTCTTAAAAAGCTGGACTTCTGTGTTGGGTCACTTTCCTTGTAAAGGTGCGAATTTTGTATATTAATAAAATTTGTCAGACTATATATTATTTAAACTTTTTAAATTAAATTAAATTAATGGGTAAGCGTTACTTCAATTTATTCACGGGCAGGGAAACTAATCCATTTTAGAGCTTATCGATTGCCATCATGCCACGCGTGTATCCGATTCAAATGTAATTTTTCGGAAGAATTTAAGTCATTTTAAAATGGCAACACACACGAAACGTCATACAAAGCAAATATGTGAAAGTTGCTAAATGACTCGATAGATAGTTTTTCTCTATCGTATAATATCGAATTCGCCAAGCTTGTTGTGTACTTTATGTTTAAATTCGGTATTACATTGCATTTAGCACAAATTTATATAAAATGATGAAGCACTCGTTTTGTAATTGAGGTTATAATAGGTCTATTGTAATCTAAGTATATTAGATGAATTTAGTTAAATTCTAGGCATTTATTATGACTCGGACGGATTTGTTCGACCTATTTTTTCATCCGATATTCCGAAAATGCTTGAAACACGCCGAATCTTCGCTGCCTATAGAAGGTACACGTACTTAGTAAGCTATACCTACCCATGCATGATTATTGTAACGCAAATTTTTGTTAATAGTGTTGCGTCGATAAGTGTATGTAATTTAATAACCTTTCATTGTTATTGAGTTTAACAGTTTTAATTTAAAGTGTTTATGAAAGTAAACACAATTTACTTAATAGATGTATACCTCTCCAACAAAGTGTAGAGATCAAGCAAAGTATAATATGTTATTCAATATTTCTTTTAGAAAAAGTGTTGGCTACTGAAATGTATAAATGTAAATTAAGTGTATTAAATTATGGTTTGAAATTGAGAAAATAAAACAAAAAGCAAAGGCATTATGAAATTAATAGGGAAAAACCTTGCAAGGGCTCAGCACACAGGTTTTTCTAATTCAAAGTTTATTATCACTTATGTTTGTAATCTTATGTCAAAAAATTTATAAATTTTGTAATTTTGAACGTCATGTGTCGTCATCGTTTAAACTGGCAACTAAGTGTAATATGCTGATTATGGGCATGCTACAGGACTACAAGAGATGCAGACAAACCTCACCAATTAAGATACAACTCACTATACAGAGATAGGATTGCATTGTTTTTTTTTGTGCAAAATACTGCACAGAGACAGCCCCATATTACGTCTCCACCACTGGTAGAGAGACTGCTGTCTCTGCAGGGCTAGCACAATAGGGGTGCGATTTGCGCGCGAGTGACATAAAGCTCGAGGTACTACTATTATCATACAGAGATCCTACTTTTTTTAATAATTTTAATTTTAATTTTTTGTATTTAACATATATTTCAATTGTGGTGTTCCAATTTAGGACAAGCCATGGCAGAATAACACTAAGGGCATTAGGCATTAGCATAGCCCTAGGATGCTGAGTCATGAACCCATATGACATGCTTTATTTATTTTAACTTAAATTTATTTCTTTGTTTAATGTTTGTTTATGAATTTTGCATGAGAAATAAAGCAAATTTTTTTATTTTATTTTCTTTATCTCGTGAATGTCGCGCCCTGTCGTGCTGGCCCTACTGCGCCAAGTGGTTGATAATTAACAATGTGCTAGAAGAAGACTATATGAAGTCCTTCTTCATACACAGAGACCACTAAAAATTCCATCTCCACAATATGGAAATCAAGGACATTGTTTATGGCGGGCTAAGGCTCATTTGCACTGGACTGAAACCAGTGAGCGAGTATCTTTCTTCTGACAAGTCTTGTTTTTGTTTTTCAAGAACAGTGTGAGTTTGATGATCTCAATAGTCAACTTCAACATTCTCAGGAAGTTCATCCATACCAAGGCGGAATAATAATGTTTTAATGAAGTTGTGTAACCCATGGTAAATCCCTCATTGACTGCAGCTCAACCAAGATTTCATGTTTAGGGTTGATAATGTATGTGCACACACTGCAAAGCTGAAGAATATGCTCTGCGCATACAATATCACGTTGTTACAGGGCCACTCAGTTGATGATCTTGAGATGGAATGGGTTTGAACCCATTAAGTATACATGGGATTTGCTTGAGAGAAAAGCATTCTTTGATTTTCTCCAAAATTTACAAATTTAAAGAAGAGCTTTTTCACATCTTTCCATAGTTGGTGTCTTATTCCACAGGGCGACAATTGACAACCTCATATTTCGTATACCAGACTTTTGTAGAGCAGTCGCTAATGCCTTGGGAGGTCCGACTGACTATTAAAAAACTTATTTAATTGCTATTATTTAATAATTTTTACAGTTACAATATATTTTTTTAATTTTAACAAAATATTTTTTTCGTAATAGTTTCGTTATTTGTAATAAATTTAGATTTTTTTCTTAACACTTATTAGTTATCATTAAAATGAACATTAAATAACTTCTTTTGATGTACAGCATATAAGGAAATTGTTTAATTTGAAAAAGAAATAAGCAATGGATACAAATTTTGCAAGAAATTCTGTATACTGGTACAAGCTGTGTGTTAAGACAGCACCAGTTTGAGAAATATTAAAATTGTGTTGTTTTGTTGTAGTTAGCTGTTGTTTCCTTACTGGATCAGCCTGCGGATAGTGTTCAAAAAGCATCCGTAGTAAATATTGTTCACGCTACTCAGTCGCACATAATGTATGGAACAGCTGTTTATTTTCTTACCATTATACAACTGAACATTGAAAAGTGTTAAAGACATTAATTCTTTTTTTTTTTACAAACTTTCAAAATGGTTGCAAACTCATAAGAAAGTGTACTGAGGACTGTTTAACACTGCCAAACTATTATATCGTCCAGAAACAGTGGACAAGCGCTCAAAGTACATCATCTGGCAGCTGTCTGTCTAATAACTAATAACAATAATGTTTGTGCAGGGTCCGGCTCGCTGCCACAACTGCATATTAGCTATAAGCCCCAGAAGATCTCACCTAAGTCACAGGGGCTAGTACGCTCACTACTGCATGATAAGATTAGAGATGCTTATGTACATCCACAGGTAACAATACACTTCAAATAACTGTATATTTCTGTGTATTTTTCTCTCTGCTTACCTTATTTAGCTTTAAATTGCAGCGGCATGGCCAGAAGACTAATCTTCCAATGATTATAATGCTTAAGAAACTTCCTGATATGAAAGCGAGTTTGAAATCCAAAACGATGTGTCGAATTGTTTCATTTTATATTGTTTCAAATCAAACTTTTAGGCCCTAGTACAACATTTGTTTTAAAATTCGGCTTAAAAGAAAGATAGCCCGACCCATGGACAAATAATATATAATGCAAGATGATTTTATGCCTAACTAACTTTTGTAAAGCAAAACTGTGGGTCTCTGGTGACAGTGTCTGACTTAAATGTTATCATAATTTGAAATACTGAATGCCCCAATTTACAATGTGTATTTTCGATTATTATCTGTGATCAATCTTTAAACAATAAAAAGTTCCTACTACGGCTTTACTCGATCTCTAACTAACATGAATAGGGCACATCAAAGCAAAACAGGATAGAATTAAACAGCAAATTCAGATCTATGTAGTTTATAATGCATACAAAATGAAGACTAGTTGCTAACGAACCGCTATAATAATTTCGCATAAATCGCAATTACTTTACGTAATATTATTGTTGACAGTTCATAACTGATGTGATGAAACCTATGAAGATAGAAGAAATCATGGACCAGGAGGTGCAGAACCTATCAGGAGGAGAGTTGCAACGCGTTGCGCTCGTATTGTGCCTAGGGAAACCCGCGGACGTATATCTTATTGATGAGCCGTCGGCCTACCTAGATTCCGAACAGCGTTTGGTTGCTGCCAAGGTCATCAAACGGTAAGACAACAATACCTCCTGATTGTGTTCCAAATTTGCAAACTTTTTATCTCCATATAGGTCAATGTCTCAGTGTCCTTCAAACCCGTAGGATTCATCGCTCTATCATCATATTGCATAAGATAAAGGCACCATTGCTGCATACTACTTACCTGTTTGTACCGCCAAGCAGTAATGTCAGCATTACTGTGTTTCGGTTTGGAAGGGTAAGGGGTGATGGTGAAAGTACAGGCACATGTGACTTGTCAACTTATGTCTCAGGGTGACGGGCACAGCGGCAGTGCTCTTCAGATCTCGCGATTTAAAGCTCTGAGTGGCACAGCAACTGTTATGGACAGGCGTGCAGCTTACCATCAGGTGCACAACTTGTTCATTCCATCACTTGATCTTGTATAAAAAAAAAACTAATATTTGTGAGAAAGCTGTGAACCTTTTCCGCGCCTTAATAAAACCCTTACTTGATCCTCCAGGTTCATTCTACACGCAAAGAGGACGGGTTTCGTAGTAGAGCACGATTTCATCATGGCAACGTACCTGGCGGACCGAGTCATCGTCTTCGAAGGCACGCCGTCAGCGCATGCTACCGCTCATGGCCCGCAGTCGTTACTCAACGGCATGAACCGCTTCCTGGAACTGTTGGGCATCACCTTCCGAAGAGACCCCAACAATTTCCGACCCAGGATCAATAAGCATTCTTCAGTCAAGGTAATTTTGTGTATTGAATTACTTGGTAATTCATCACAGTCGTGCAGAGACTATTGCAACCTATAAAAGAAGAATAAAATTCAGTTTCTTTATTTTATAAAATATCTCTCTCCTTATCGTTATTATTCCCATCTGATGGTGGAGTTCTTGTCCTTAACCTCCGCTTTGGTCTGTTGAACGTGTCGTTTTCTGAAACGTGGCAACTTTTTAAAACTTATATTTCATAAAATATATATTACTTTTGAAATTACAGAGCCCTACTTTCGCGTGGTACAAAGGAACGTAGATTTATAGCGTCTAGGACAAATCATTATGACAAAATATTCATTTGCTTAGTTCCCAAACCACATATTCAATGTGTATTGTTTTCCCCACCATCCCTATAATAAAATGTTTTGACAATCCTTAGAGGTAGGCTAATAATGCAAGGTGTTTGTCTATATCATCGAGTATATAACCAGAAAATTAAATAGTGACGAAATGTCATTTAGTTTGTTTGAAAACTATTCTGCCAAATCATTACGGTGGCAACTGCGCTCATTTGTGGTGACGTCAATTGTTTCACTTCAAATCGACCAGTTTAACTTAAGCTTTGCTATAATGGACGAAGAATGAAAAATTACATATTTAATTACCAATGAAATGTAATTCCGTGTGTTTTGTAATTGTTTTGCTGTTTTTCCCACACCATCAAATGGAACAGCCCCCCATTGTTAGCGATATTGTCTTTATTACACGTACACACAGCTCAGTTGTTGGCGCTGTACTATTTCAGCTTTATAATTTGTGAGTTCCATTTGCCCGATGAGTTGCCAGTGATGGATGACCCTTATTTCATCTCTATTTTTGGTTATATACTCGATGGTCTGTATACTTATTAATAATATTATCTTTTTTTTTCAGGACATAGAGCAGAAAAGAGCGGGCCAATACTTTTTCCTAGAAGACTAGTAACTGTTATATTTCACGCAACTTAAGCAATAAATTCGTTATCTACTGCTAGATTCGTTTACTACATGTTATAAGCCACACCATGATTTATATATACAATTTATGTATGTTATTTTTACAATTGACATTATTGTGTATAAACAGGCTAACCGTCAACTTCTAATGCATTACAAATAAATCAGTTTTATACAATCACTCTTGCTACTTATTTCGCATCATTGACTTAGAAACGCCTAGGTACACCAAATTTCTTAGAAATTATGGTAATAACGGCATAATTTTGCATGGGGCACCGTTGCTGTTTATTCTGTTAGTAAGAATTATACATACACTATAACATAGTCTCAAGAATGTAAATTATAATCCAGTTTTTGCGAAGAAATCGATACCTTCAATGAACACTGCGCCAACTTTATTTTTTGGTCAGTTTCTGTTATTTTTGTAAACAGCCTTATTTATGCTCCCCGAATTTTGTGGAAAAAAAAGTTTAAAAAAATATCGAAAAAAAAAACAAAAAACTAATTTTGTAAAATAAAAAACAAAATTACAACCGAACAGATCCAGAAATTAAGTTGGCGTAGTGTTCATTGGAGGTAACGAAATAGTATTACAACGTTAACTATACATAGCTCTAATTTATCATTGTTTTTCAACCTCTGTAGCATTTTTTAAATTAATGTAGTATAGGAGGCAAACTATCGGATGAACCATTAGATTAAATTTGCCGGAGGTTATCATTGACACTACTGAACACCTTATTATATGATACTTAGCCTGTTACACGATATCTAGCGTGCTATATGATATTTAGCTTGTGTGATATTTATTAAACAGTTTGAACATAATGATTTTATTTTTATAACGTTTTATAGGAACTGGAAAATTGTGTAGTCTTAATTTAAAAAAAAAATGTTGAGGACTGCTGCTTGACAGATTCCTTCGCCTTTGTGATTCTTTTCACACCTCTGTTCAGCCATCTTTGTTTTCGGTTTTTATGTTTTTTTCTCAAAATCAGCCAAGTGGCAGGAGTGAAAATATTTAGCAATAATGGTTGTGTACGTTGTCAAATGTTTAACAGATAAAACTTAATAAAATTAAAGTATGCATGCGCGAAGTCGACGTATACAACTGCATGCAGCCGTAACCGAATCGCCGCGGATTCAGAAGCTCAATGTATTTCGACTCCTACGTAATCGTCCTACGTACGTCCTATTCGATCCTACGTATCCTAAGCCACAAAAATAGGCGTATTTTTATCATAGGTCATATTTTTATGTAGGTCTATTATACTCAGCAGTAAAAACGAAAAGGATGAAAAATAAAGAATATATCGTCGGTGTTGTGCAAAATGGGAGTAAGCGACAGGTCAAGATTTTTCAGGGGAGCATGTTTAAATGACTTAAAATATTTACGCCCTGTTTTAAAATTCAATTTTATAAATTTAATTTAATTAAAATCAAAGTTCGTCAGCTAAATTCGTAAACCCTGTAATCTCCATTAATGTGTACTTTTGAGTAGGCCCAAAAAACAACATTAGGCTAGAAATTATATGACGATCTCTGATTATACCTATATTTTATAACTAAAAGAAAGTATACAAATTATATTTTAAGCTTTAATTGTCCGATATTGCGCTTGAAGAGAGAGAGAGAAAACTTTTTTTTTAGGGGAGCATTCCCCTAAAAATCCAAGAAATGTCGCTTACCTGTTTCTACAAAACGCCGACAATATATCAAATCAGTTAAATAATTTCTTTGTATTTTCCATATGTTAAAACTTTCCACTGTAAAATTGTAAATTTGGACATACGATTCTTTACATAGAAGGGATAGATTTTTTGATGTCGAAATGCAAGCACACGTTAACTGTATTCAGAACATTTATGATTCCAAATGGTGACTTTACCTTTTATTAAGGAAATAAACATATCACTATTGAAATCCTTCATTTTAATTTGTCAACAAAACTCACGTCCGTAATCCGCGACTATGGTTTGCAGTGTAATTTGCGATCAATAATGTAAACAAAGGTGCTATTACAAAAAGAAAATATTTTAATAATTTGTGAAATAAATCCGTCGATAACAGTTTCACCAATCGTGTTTTTGTTTTACTATTATTTTGATTAAACCCTCAAGTAATCGTTACCTTTTGCTGAAAAAAATAAAGTTTGTCGAGATAGATAAACGCACTGACCGTGGGTTGTTTCTTCGATAATTGGGGCGCCTACAATAACTAAACTGTAGCAAGCGGCACTACTAATTTTCATACAATATTTAGAAACGCAGTTGCAGCACTATTGTCGTGACACGCGCCGCAATGTAAATTGAGCCTTAGTGAACTAAAAATTACTGACGCGCGGCTCTTAGGGTCGTATTCTAGAACTCTACTCAATGCTCAAGTCAGATCTGAGTATGGTTTAAAGCACTCGAAATCATACTCAAGTTCCTGCCATTAGGGTCGTATTTCTAGTGCTTGTGTTGCCAGTGCAATCCTGACTTGAGCATTGAATAGAGTTCTAGAATACGACTCTTAGGGCCGTATTCTAGAACTCTACTCAATTCTCAAGTCAGGATTTGAGTATGGTTTAAAGCACTCGAAATCATACTCAAGTCCCTGCAATTAGGGTCGTATTTCCAGTACTTGTGTTTCTAGTGCAATCCTGACTTGAGCATTGAGTAGAGTTCTAGAAGTGTTGCTTATTAAAATTAGTGTTGCTCGCCGGTCTTTATGCATCTGTCTTGGTTTTAGGTCGTCAGGCTGCCCGCTCTGGTCTCTCACATACTGATGATGTACTAAGTTGATTTTCCGTATTGCCGTTGGACAAATGCTACGGTGATATCGCGTCAAATCGACCTTTTGCAAAAGCGGCGTAGTCGCAACAGAATTTTTCTAACGGGAACTCTTCTACTTTCAAATCAGTGCGTTTTTTAGGATAATTCCAGAAGGGAGGTGGGGATATCATTGTTATAACTGGCGAAATATTATTTGCACCGATTAAGATGATATTTCGCTTCATCTTTAGAGTACAGTAGGACAAAAGAGTGAGCCGTCTCGGTAACGCATGTACCATCTTTATAGTGCAAACAACTAGTTTAAACATTTTACGCATTGGTATTTAATTCTTAACTTGGTAATCTTCATGCGGAACTAACTTTGTTGAATTTGTATGAAAACAGTCGGCAGTAATTATATATCTATGGTCGGTATTCATGAAGTACATAGTAGTTTAAAAAAACGACCTGATGGGTAAATAAATAATTTAAAACTAGAATTCAGAAAAAGCATTTAACGCGCCCATGACTCGTACCATGGACCACGATCATTAAATTCATGTACGTTTTAAGTAAAATAAGTGTTAATGGTTTTTTACCCTATTGTAACAGAAAGGATAAGTCCCAAGAGAACATTCATCGGTGCAAATAATATTTCTTCAACTATACTTATGCCCACGTATTTAAACATGATATAGGTACTGCATCCAAAAGAATTGCTAAAGGTCTTTAGTAGATTATAAAGTGTATACGTGAAATACTATAGCTTAATTAAAATAAGGATTAACATGCGTGATGTACCGTAAGATTAAATACAAACTAAATGTTATCTAAGTTTAACTTGAAAAGTCGATTTTTAAAGTTGTTTTTTGAGTTAACTTGGTTGCAATTGAGCAATGGACACACCTGATGCAGAACCCGTTATGTGACCCGTTACTGATTTTAGTCTCGACTACGCGTACCACGCCGTCAGAGCTGGGATGGAGGTCGGATACTCGACTTCTCACACCATCTAAGATTTCTCTTCTTCGATCAAAACTAGACTGCCCAATTGGAAGTGTTTCCGGCACTTGCAGCGTTGCTGCATGTTGTGAAAATATTCAATAAGTATTTGTAAAACAAACTTCCAACGCTTTTATGGCGAGATGTACGATCGATGGTGTCCTCGGGCAGGCTAACCAGCGGCTTACGTGTCAAGATTACTCGTAGATGTGTCGCATGTCAATGGACATAACAGCCTACAATTAAAAACTGCTTCAGCCGTAGCGAACACTGTGGACAGGTTAGAGCACCTGTCCTCCCACCGTTCGAAGCAACAAGGTGAGGCCGAGTAACTTTGCCGCTTGCGCTAAGTAATCATTCGAAAACGTCGAGTACATTGTACTCGATGTTCGAAAATAAACTGTCTCGATTATTTTTTCTGTTGTGTTCTTCTACAAAGCTCGTAGTTCCATCGATGAAATCGATGATTCCTGCAACAACGTCAAAACAAGCTGACAGGTGAATTTCGATAGACTATGCTGAGAAAATTCCGTCTTTTAAGTGAGAGAATCTTTTAGAGGATGGAAAGAAAAAGGATAATAATAATAAGGATATTATAACTGGTTTCCATAGTCTAAGGACAATCTACAACATTGTGCTATGTTACTTTGGCATGCTGTTACCGTTTTACTTTATGTACAGCCAACAATTCAAACTTTTTTAAGCGCCAACGCTAGTGTGTTGAAGCTATTCGGCCATTTTGTTTGAAATGATGTGACAAACGAGTGCTGTTTTGGATGTGTATTGAGTAGATATATTGAGTTTACAGGTATTGTTCATGCACAAGTGTACAGAAATGAAACTCCCGAACTTTGTTTAAGCTTTAACGTTTTTTGTATGTAGACAGAACAATGTTTTCGTTAACACAAATTAGTCAAGTGGCGTAGGGAAGAAGTCAAACAAAAGACTCCCACTATAATTTCTGATGCACACGTTTGTCAACACTTTAACGTCAGGCGTTAACAACAGGCGTTACACGCCGTAAAACAAATCAACATTTAATTATTAATTTTCGAACCAAGCTTTAGGATGTAAGTTTGCACCATTCATTACACTTTATTTAAACTTTTATTTCAGATGCTTAAAAAGCTAAAAAGCAACGGTGATTGGATAGGTACAGAAAACGATTAAAATTAATTGACTCAATTAAATTCAAAGCTATGAAAAAATTTAGTAATGGACGCACTTAGAATGAACGCACTACATCTAAAATGACACGAACGATGATGACGATGTCATCACTCATCAGCTATGATGTAAAACGAACATAGATCATTTAAAAAAATGTAATATTATGGCTTCTTTTATATTATATATATTATAGTATTTTTGACATTA